TAAAATTTAAACCATGGAACTTGCTTAAAATTTGTCAGGTATATTTTGCCCCCACCAAATTATCATTCACAGCTAAAAGTATATTTTAGTTAAACTTTGAATTATTCTAAATCAATTCTGAATGATGCTTAATAATTTTGATTTTTTTTCCTGCTTATTAACCAATACTGATGTCTGGTGATTCCGTGATTCAAACACTAAAATCAAAGAATAAAGTGAACTTTTGACAAAGTGATGCGGAAAAGATTCCGATCCGTGTGCCGTGTGCGTTTTGGTCGGGAGCGTGTTTCTTGCTTTCTTTTTGCTACTATGGACGGCGGAGAAGTTGGGGCGAATGTGGAGGCACAGAGTTGCCTCTATATGCTTCTCTTTAATTTGATAACCTATCCCTCAAATTCATCCTCATTGGAAGATTCTGATCCAATCATCATCACTCAGCATGCCGTGCATTTTGCAGGCTCAAGAACTTGAAGGCAAAATCAAGGAAGAGATCAACATGAAGGAGGAGTTAGCAAAAGAATTGGAAGCAGAAAAGGAAACCATATACGAAACCAGACGTGATATTGAAGAAAGCAGAAAGAGGTTAAGCTCACTGTTGGAGCTTCAATTGGAGCTCTCAAACAAGCTTCAGATCTCCACACAGGCAAGGTCACAAGCTGAAATTCAATTGGAGAATGCGGCGAATACCAGGTCGGAGATGGTGGCCGAGATCGACGAGCTTAGGAGACAAAGAGACGTGCTTTACAGAAGGATCGAGTTTTGCAAAGAAAAGGACGCCATCGGAATGGCGGCGAGGCTGACGGAACCCAGTTTGCATTTTAGAGAGTACACGGTCGACGAGATCAGGTTGGCCACCGACGACTTCTCCGACCGCCTCATGCTGAAGTCCGGTGGTGCCGACTGGACCAACGTTTATAGAGGAAAGATCAACCATTCCACCGTAGCCATCAAGATCCCCCCTTCCAATCATGCCTTGTCACCCCAAGAATTCCAAGCTCAGGTGAATTTTTCACAATAAAGAATCAACTATAAATATATTTGGCGTCAATAGCTCAGAACTCATACTTAATGTTATCAGGTGAGACTTCTTGGGGCTATTCGGCATCCTCACGTGCTGGCGATGGTGGGATTTTGCAGTGAACTAAAATGCATAGTTTTGGAATATATGAATAATGGCAGCTTGAGGGACATGCTATTTTCCAGGAGAAGAAACCGAGCCTTACCATGGCAAGACCGAATCAGGATAGCCGCCGAAGTTTGTTCGGGCTTGGGCTTTCTTCATTCGGCCCAGCCCAAACCCTTCATCCATGGGCACCTGACGCCTTCCAGCATCCTTCTCGATCGCAACCTCGTTGCCAAGATCAAAGGTTTTGGGTCCAACGAAGGCAACCCACAATCTGATGTAAGGGCCTTTGGAGTTTTGATCATGCATTTGCTGACGGGAAGAAACTGGGTGGGCCTGGTTGAGGAGGAGATGAAGATGGGAGAATCTTTGATGAAGGTTTTGGATGAGACTGCTGGGCCCTGGCAGTTGAATGTGGCCCAAAAGCTAGCAGACTTAGCCTTGAAGTGCATGGGCTTTCCTAATGGGCCTAAGCCCAAGGAAGGGCTAAGCATCGGAAATGTAATGCTGGAACTAAATGAGATCAGAAGAGAGGCTAATGACGAAGGTGCTAGAGGAGACACAACAAGATTTAGCGGAGGTGTAGATAAAGAAGAGCTTATGGATGTGCCCAACGTGTTTCTTTGTCCCATACTTCAGGTAAATGTGTTCTTGTTGTGGATTTCTGTTGTCAAATATATGTAATATTTTGTATAATTAATTAATTAATGCGGGGAGTTACGTGGGATGATGCAGGAGGTGATGAAGAATCCACACGTGGCAGCGGATGGGTTTTCATATGAATTAGAAGCAATAGAAGAGTGGGTGGGTTCAGGGCATGAGAGATCGCCAATGACAAACGCAAGGCTGCCTCACTTGTTCTTTACCCCTAATCACTCCCTTCGTTCCCTAATTCTGGACTGGCAAACCAAAAGATCTTCTCATTTTAAATAATTAGTGCTCCGCTTTGTTCATTATGTACAGAGTTCAATTGAGGCTTATTTAAGAGAGAATCATAAGGTTTGAGAGATCCTGTTGACCCATTAATTTTCACCACAGAAGGAATCCAATACACGTGAACCAAATTAAGGGGAAGTAATAGCAACATGGGCAATCGTCCCAACAGAAATTCAAAGTTGTAAGATATTGGCTCCTTTTACTGCGCTCGATTTCATTTGTTCAATGAAAACATTTTGATAACTCTAAATGATTAACAGGCTAGCTATGTCAAAGGTGATCCCAAACACAGCTTTTATATGTAAATTCCGTATTATTTCTTATTCTTAATATAAGATTTTATTTGAATTTAATGTTAAATATAAAATTCTCATCCATTTTGTTTCTTATATTTATCTTTTTTTTTCAAAGTGTCTTTATAATGGTCACACATGCTAAGTGTTCTATTAAATAATAATTTTAATTAATATACATGATTAGCAATAATACCACATCTGGTTCTCAATATAAAAGTTAGTTGACTAATTTGAGTAAATTAAGAAAGTTTGTTAAGTTAGTTTTTTGTAATAAATAAGTATTGTCTTTCTAGAACACCCTTACTAATCATGTGAATTAGTTAGAATTATCATTTGATAGAATTTTTAACATGTATAATTGCTACAAGGGCTACTTTAAAAAAATAGATAAATATGAAAGATAAAACGGATTAAGGTCTTATATTTGTTTAGTTTTTATATTAGTGATCGGAGGTAGTATCTGAGAAAAGACAATACATATTCGTTATAATTATATTAAGAACCGAAAGTAGCATAGTTTATACAATAATTTTTGAATTGATTTCTAAAGTAAATTCACATTTTCGGAAGTAAAATCGTTTGTGGGTATAAATTCTGGAATGCTTTGTCTGTCACGGGGGTGATGAGGAATACTCATACCTGTCATGATTCGTGCTTGGCAGTGACTTTGAAACGCAAAAACGGGACCGTAGAGCTGTAGAGTAGATTTGGGGGTATTTGGATGACTAAGAAAAAACACTTTTAAAAAATAATTTTACGCAAGTGAAAGCAAATCGAAACAAAACTTTTGAAAATAATGATCGAAAAATAACAAATGAACTTTATAAACTAAAATCGTCTGTTGAATTTAAGAAATCCTAATTTAGTCTCAAGAGACTAATTTGATATTTATAAGTATGTTGAATTAACCATATTGTTCTTTATTTTATTTATTGTTTTTAAAATACAAAAATCCCCACTGGCCGGCCGGTCACCGGAACTCTGGTGACCGACCAACAATTGGTCACCTGAGCTCCGGCAGTCAGAAACAATTTTTTAAAATTTTTTACAACTTTAGTATAACAGTTAATAACTTTTGCAACGCTATTAACAACTTAGTATATCATTAACAACATGTTTTCTGAAAAATTCAAAAAGCTCCGGCGACTGGAAATATTTTGAAAATTTTACAACTTCAGTATAACAATTAACAATTTTTGTAACGCTATTAACAATTTTCGTATAACAGTTAATAACAAATTTTTTTGGAAAATTCAACAATTAGTCACTGGAGCTTTGGCGGGCAGAAACAATTTTTTTTAAAATTTTTATAATTTCAATATAACGGTTAACAACTTTTGTAATATTATTAACAACAGGTTTTTTAAGAAATTCAAAAAGTAGCATTTTTATAACTTCAATAATGCCGTTAACAAGTTCCATAACTCTATTAAAAATTTCAGTATAGCATTTAACAACATGTTTTCTTAAAAATAAAAAAAAAGCATTTTTACAACTTTAGCAACTACTTTTTTTTGGTTGAAATTTTTACAACTTTAGTATAACGGTTAATAATTTTTATAATGTTATTAATAACTTTAATATAGCAGTTAACAACAAGTTTTCTGAAAAATTCAAAAAGTAACATTTTTACAACTTTAGTAATATCGTTAACAAGTTCCGTAACTCTATTAACAACTTCGGTATAGCATTTAACAATAGGTTTCTTTAAAAATTTAAAAAAATGGCATTTTTATAACTTTAACAACTACTTTTTTTTAAAATTTTTTTTTACAACTTTAGTATGACGATTGATAACTTTTATAAACGCTATTAACAACTTTAATATAGTAGTTAATAACAGGTTTTTCAGGAAATTCAAAAAATAGCATTTTTACAACTTTAATAATGCTATTAACAAACTCAAAAACTTATTGTTAACCGCTATACTGAAATTATTAATAGCGTTATAAAAGTTGTTAACCGTTATATTGAAGTTGTAAAAAATTTTAAAAAAATTGTTTTTGGCCGTCGGAGCTCCAACAACCAATTGTTGAATTTTCCGAAGAACCTGTTATTAACTACTATACTGAAATTGTTAATAGCGTTACAAAAGTTGTTAACTGTTATATTGAAATTGTAAAAATTTTCAAAAAAATTATTTCCAACCACTGGAACTTATTGAATTTTTCAGAAAACCTATTGTTAACTGCTATACTAAAATTATTAATAACATTACAAAAGTTGTAAACCGTTATACTGAAGTTGTAAAAATTTTCAAAAAAATTGTTTTCGACTGCTGGAGCTCTAGTGACTAATTATCGGTTGGTCGCCGAAGCTCTGGTGACTGCTGCCACCGGAACTCTGCGACCGACCGATCAGTAGGAACTTTGGTATTTTAAAAATAATAAATAAAATGAAGGACAATAATCATTTTAGTAAACTTGTAAATATCAAATTAGTCTCTTAAAACTAAATTAGAATTTCTCAAATTGCCATTTTTCCGTCTTTTTTTTCCGAAACTTTTGGCATGTACTACTTTGCATACTGTCCTGTTCTGTGCCCAGTGCCAACCTATCATCAACTATTTTCTACGAGTTTCTATACAAGTCCTTCGGCTACAAGCCAAAGGTCCATTGACACCTTTGCCCTCCTTGCTTCTTTTCCCTCCCTAATATCGCGCATCATGCATTCCTGAAATGCCCAACTGCAACGGCAACGAATAACGAAAATTCAGTGAAAAAGCAGAGGCCGTAGTCGTGACAACCGCAAGAGTCGAAACCATGGCGGCGGCGGCAGCTGATGAGTCGTCATCGTTTTGTTCATCCTCTATCTTCTCCCAGAAAAGCACCAGGCTTCCTGATGACACCGTCTTCTACGCCATTTTTCCCGACTTCGTACTCGACCCCACTACTCCCAACGACCTCTCCTCTCTACAATCCCTCCACCTTCAAATCATTCAATTTCTTTCCCCCTTCACCACCGATTACATCTGGCAGCATGAGCCCTTCACCCTCACCCCCTCTTCAACCCCCAGGTCTTCTTGTGTCTGCTCCTCTGACCTCCCTCACCTCCACGGCAAGGTTCGTTTCGGCGACAACCTCGAGGACGAGTGGTTCACCGTCTTCCTTCTCTTCCAAATCTGTCTTCACTTTCCCTCGCTCTCCATCAGAGTCTGGGACACTGACGGCGAGTTCTTGCTCATCGAAGCAGCATTCCATCTCCCTCGTTGGGTTAACCCAGACAATAGCCTGAATCGCGTCTTCCTTCGCCAAGGTGACCTTCATATAGTTCCGCGTAATCGGCTTTCAAGCCCGAGTTTAGCTGATTCGTTGAAATTTTTGGTCGGCTGTGGAGTCGAATCGAGGGCGTCAGAGTCGGTTCAGAGGGCGGTTAAAAAAAAGATTTCAGATTACCCGGATAGAGCTAGGAGGAATATGCATAGGGTTAGGGTCAGGGTTCCGGTTTCAGTCGCCCAAGTTTTGAAGCAGGAGCCTTGCATGATTTCGCTTGCTGTGGAGGGCTTTTATGACAGGGATATTGATACCATGAAGTTTGCGGCGACCATGGAGAAATTCTTGGGCAGAGGGAAAGACGAAGAATTGGTATGTGTTTCTGTGAAGATGTCTAGGGCAATGTATGCACAATTAGTGCAGCAAACGTTTCAAGCGCCAAAATGTTATCCAATGCCGAGCAGGAGCGACTTGTCAGTGTACATGGAAGCAGAGTTGGGCATGAAAATAGCTTGTGGGCTTGAGATGATGTATCAGCAGCGCAAGCGTGATGGAGTAGAAGGGAGAGGGAGCACGTGGGAGGCATTTAAACAGGCTTTGGAGAGGAGTGGTTATTTCCAAGGGCTGCTACCAGGTTCCAAAGAGTATCAGAGGTTAATGCAAAATGCTGAGGAGTATTATAGAAGCAGTTCTGTGTACTCCAGAGTCAGGTATGTTTTCTGTATTGACATTTACCAGCACCACTGAAGTAGCCTACGTCAGGATTAATTTAAAAAAAAAAAAATCCATTGTGTCTGAAGAAAGCTGTCAATTCAAATAGGTTTTCCAGACTTATGACGTGGTATTAGTATTTGATGGGAAGGAGGGTCTGGGGTATCCGTATCATAGACTTTTCGAATTTTGGTAATTCAATTTTGGGAATGATAAATTTGGGTTGTTGTTCGACAACATTTTGGGCTATGGATTATAGAATTTGGATTCTCTTTTGAAATTCTTGCCATTTGTCACAATTCTAATTTATAGTCATTGAATTGACCCGAGTTGTCATTATCTTACTTTTTTTCCCTGAAGTAGAGGGAAGCCATATGTATTTCTTTCCCATTTGGTTTGAATTGCAAATCCATAAAAAAAGATCAATCTAAACCATTAGATTGATCTTATGATTAGAAATTAGAATTGAGATAGATCGATGGAATTCTGAAGTGAGAGAATCCACATATGTGGGTCAGGAACTCAAATTTCGCTCCCTCCCCGGGAATATGTTTTCTGCTTTTAGTTCTCGAGTTAATCTTGGTTTCTTATTTTGTCATTACTTTACTAATGTGAAAATTTGTTGCAGTGACTTGCTGAGTGCTCCTGTGAGACGCATTGATGAAATCCTTGCTTTACCACATTCAGTGGATGATTTTAAGGATCAGGAGGTCCCTCCATCTGATGATGATTCATGGCTCTATGGTGGAGAGGAAGAGTTGAACTCTGTTCTTCTTGAAAGACAAAAGGAGATGGAACTTTATGACCTAAAACATAAGAAGAAAGGGAAGGGGAAAGAGCAGCAAGAGGAGGGTCTATCATCTGGTTCTAATGCTAGAGAGTTTAATCCTGCTGATATAACAAATACTATGCAGGCTTTTGTCCACAAAGTGTCAAGCTACAAAGGAGCTGAAGCTCCTGAAAGCATGTTAGTTATACTATAATTTTTTTTTTTAAACATATTTGATATGCATTCTGTACACATAGTATTGGCATCTTTTTCAGGTTAGGTTTGGGTTATGGTATGAGATTATCATTAATGAGGTTCAGCCAAAGATATTGAGTGTGTTCCATATGCATTGTTTCATGGAGGTCTGAGTACAGGGACTAATAATCTAAGGCCTATAAGCTTCCATTTTTCTCTCTTTCCTTTTTCCCTGGGTATTTAAATTTGGAAACACTCGTGCCATTTGTTATGCAGTGTTGATTACTCATAATTCCGCATGCCTTATGATTTTTCCAGGTTATTTCATGATATCTACAAATCAAGGCTGTGCTCAACTTGATATTTTGGAATTTTGGATATTTTTAAGAGTACTTGCTGTATGATGATCACTCCTTAATTTTATATTCTCTCGTCCTTTTAAGGAATAAGGAAGTGGACCTGGATGTGGACCAATTCATTAAGGACATGGAATCAGTAATGAAGCACCAAGGAGTTAAAGATGATGACAGTGATGTTGAAGAGGGCTCCTCATCTGAAGTGGACTTCGGTAACATCTGTGTTATTGAAACAAATTATCTTCTCTTGTTTTGTTTTAATTTGATATTTGTTACAACCATTTTCCTGCAAAGAACATGTATTGCTCCAATGGATCATGTATTGCACTTTACATGATTTATCATAGGCATGCATAGTTGCACATACATTTTGGTTCACAGCTTCACTTAAGTTTCAACTTTCTTCTAGCGATCTGTTTTATGCAAATGTTCCAGCTCCTTTTCGGTTTAGGAGGAAGGGCAGCTCTAGAAGTCACAGATTGTTTTCTGCCTTCATGAACAAGCATGAGCAGCTGCCTTAGCATGTGATCTTTTGCTGCTGCTGCTTCATAATACTTTTTTTTTTTTTTTAATAATTTTTAAAAATTTTTTTTTCCCCTCTTGAGGAATGATTCAAACAATACCCCAAGGAAAAAACCTACTACCACATAAGGTTCAAGCCTTTTGATGGAGCACTTGAGTAATAAATAAAGATACAGTCAAAAGAATGAATCTCAAATATTGTTATGCCTCAAACTGTGAAAATAATTACTAAAAGTAAATGCCACAATTCATTATTATTTTTCTCTCTTCATTCAGGCATGATATCTAGACTGTTCTAACGTGTGAATAAGAACTTACAATTGTGCTATCTTGAGCTTATTTACGTGAATGCTTTGAGCGGCATTCAATGTATTTAATCAAGTAGTGAAAGTTGATATGTAGTTGTTGCAGTTAAATAAAAATAAGTAATTAAAATTGAGGCTTGTAGCTTAAAAAGTGCATGATGTTTATGGATGGAGGAGCTTATTATTGCATAAAATATAAACTTCTTGCTCCTTTTCTAAAAACTTATCTGTTTGTGCCAGTCAAGTTTTCTTTTGCTCAGGTAATTTACGCATATAAGATGTTTCTAATTGTTTGTGAATTATGTTATTAGCAGAACAAAATTCACTGACTATAAAACTAGCATTTCTGTTTTAGCATGCAGATAACCAAAAAGGATAATGATTTCTTTCCAGGAAATTAATCAAATATATGAACAATCGATGGTGCATGTCTACCCCTGCTATATCTCTTAAGGTTTCTTATGGTTTTGTGAATAATTGTGTAGATGATTCTGATGAGAGCGATATGGCTGAACCTGACAATGAAGATGGTGGAGATACATTCATGCAGTCCTATTCTGATGCAATGAGTGAAGAGCTGAAGGCAACCACTCTGGGAAGAAGTTTTGTTCGTGCTAATGAACAAATTCCCAAGAAGGATGAGGTATTTTGCTTGTGTTTGCATGTAGGAAAAACTATTCAATTTCTTATGACATAAATATTACCTGGCCTCACGAAGCCAATTCAAAAGTTAAGCAGTGAAAGATAAGCAGGTTTGCCGTGAACTATGACTCAAATTTGGCTCTTGATTTGGTGCCCAAGAGGACAAGTTTTTTTGACCATTTTCCCTTATTCACGTCTGATGAGGGGGCAATGTGCACATTCACATGAGAATTTGGCTTTTATTTTGTTCAGCAAAGTCTCATAGCTGTTAGAAGGCTGAATGCTGTTGCATGAATGATTTTCTTTGTAATTCTCCAGCAGGGAACATCGAATACCGTGGAAAATATGGATGAAGATTTTTCTCCAGTTGATGTGGATCTGAATTTGGTAAAAAGCTTTCTGGATTCCTTTTCTTCCCAACAAGGACTCCCAGGCCCTGCATCGAATTTACTTGGCCTCATGGGGGTGCAGTTCCCACAAGATGACAACAAGGGGAAATGAAATTACTTGAATAATTTAGTCCAAGATTTTGGGGATGCTTCAACAATACAATCTAGATAGCATGTTTCATCATCTTGTTTCTCAAGCTCTTACCATGCAGGCAGGGATCTGCTTGATTGATTCTATAGAGAAAATCCCAGCCGTGATGTAGAACAATGATACTGGTTTTAATTCCTTGAGTAAAGAAGCGTGTTATGACAGAATTTGCTTTTGCAAAAAGCAAGGCAATCATTTGCTGCAGTGTTGATCTTAGCTATATTATGGAAAAAAGGCAATACAGTCATCTGCTGGAATTTGATCTGACCTATTTGATAACAGCAAACTTTGTCGCCAGTTTACCCGCATATTCATACTCTCCAAGTACACTCACTAGTCCCCACGCGGGGGATTTGAAGTGCTGTTGCGGTGTACTGTTGGTATGTTTTATTGTCAGTTAAGATGTGGTTGGTTGCTGTGAAGTTCGTATTCTTCATTGTCAGCCGCCTGCGGTTGATCATGCCTGTGAGATGTACAATTTTGATGTCAGAAAGACAATGTAGAAGCTTATTATATTGAGGTTCTTTTATTGTAAAACATCATGTATTTCATTGTTTTCTTTTTAAAATCAGTAAGAAGTTTAATTGCAATTTTAGGTCAGACGCTTCACAAAAGCCATGACATTGTGACCTGTACCCTGCGTTTGGATGAGAAAAAAAATGGAAGGAAAAATTAGGAAAAAGAGACAATTAAAAGAGAGAGCAGGGGAAAGAATTGATTTTCTTCTGTCTGGATAGCAAGCAACGGAAGACATAATGCAAGGAAAATGACTGAGAAAATAAATTAGGGGAAATTATTATAAGGTCTCAAATAATTATAATAAAGTTCTAATGACAAATGAGTTGCTTGTATTTGTTGTCATCCAATGTATTAAAATTTGTCATTACAAGTAAGATTTTTTTTATTGATGACATTCTTTCCTTGAAATCTCAAGATGGTTCTAATAAGTTGTGGGAGTCCCTTTCCCTCTCAGCCTACCTTTGAAAGGAAGTTACATAAGCTTGTTGTGCCTAATATTTGAATTTTTATAACTTCAGTGATTTTATGTCAAAAGCTTGTAGAGGTTGAAAAAAATTAATGTTTTGTCCCTTTAATTAAAGTTGTGATAGCTCAATTAACTACTAAATTTGCTTATTTAGATATTCACAAAAAAAATTGTCTTTCCTAATTAAATTTTTCATAGAAAATATATTGATATATTCTCTATCAAAATATGACATCTCCAATTCAAAGATGAACAATTGTTAAGCAAACAATTAATTAGGGGTGTGCATGAAATACAAATACCCACTGAGTTTACCCGAGTCCGAAGAAAAATTGCCTAGCCCAGCCAGAAAAAAAAGAGCCCGAAAAAGAATGGGCATCTTTGGGCTAGGCATTTCATGGGCAGGGCTGGGTATTGTGCAAGACATGCTGCCCTGCCCATTTGACCATGCCCGGATTATATATATTATAATTTATGAAATAATATTAATATATTAGATTTCTTTACTAAAAAAAAAATTATCTCCCTCTTCTTTGCAATTTAATTTATTATTATTACATGTCTATTAGTTTTCCATTTTAGGGGATCTAATTCTTCTAAAGAAGCAGTAGTATCTTGCTTTTAACTTGTTCTTCGTGGCTTTATTGGGTATATTCTATTGTGTGTTGCTGTTGTAATGTTGGCTATTTATAAGTCAATCTTCCCCTCTATGCCATTAACAACTTTTTTTGTTAGAGAATGGAGTTCATACATTATGTATCTGTATAAATCAACAATTTTGAATATTTAAACAAGATAGAAAACAAGATTGGGGTAGGAGCATGGAAAGAAAATTGGGGTTTAATTATCTGAATTACATGTTTTATTTTTATTTAGTTATTTTGTATTAATTTTTTATGAACAAGTCATATGATGGAAAGAAGTCTTTTAGTTGTATGGACTGTTAACTGCATTGTATTGCATAATAAGTATTTACATATTAAAAGTGGTTATATTAAATTATTATAAGATTATAAGATTTTTTATTTTTCTTTTTACAATTATGTTCACCCTATTTTTATATGGTCTATGTTATTCTTGTTAGCCCATTGCTTCAATTTTAATATCCTTTTGTAATCCTTTAGGTAACATTTAATTTTTACCACTTGAATGGATAATCAAGCTTCTATTATATCGCCATCCCCGGCTCCCAATGGAATATCTCAATATGCTTCAACCCCTCATCAATTTTTTTTAGATATTTTATTCTTTTCTCAACTTTTTGGAGTTGATGCAAACCGTTTGAATTTCAAGACTTTAATTACAATCTTGAGAGTTGTTTTGTTCTAAATGAATTATGAATATTATTTATTTGGATATTCGCTACGACTTGTTTTGAATTATTTCTAGATAACTTCAATGTGTGAAAATTTAAAATTATGAAATGTAATTTTCAGGTATGGATGAAAGTTTTTTTGCATGCGATATCGGTAGGTCATCACCATTTGGGTAGTAAAGCCTGCCCTACCCAGCCCAAAATGATTAGGGCTTCTATGGGTAGGGTCGGGCAGCGGGCTGCAAAATGCAGCCCGTTCATACTTCAGGCTGGGCATTGGGCAAAGGTCCTATCCTGCCCAGTCCTGCCTATGTGCACCCCTACAATTAATAAGAAAAATAATCCATAACAACTTTACTATTAAATTCAGTTTTAAAAAAAATTTCACAATCAGTAGCAATCATTGAGTGCCCTTATTTAATTGATGTTAAATTTTAGAGGAGGTGCTGAAATGCAAAATATCATTATATATTAAAAAATTAAAATCTTCCAGCGGGTTGTGGCCCAGGGTTCCCTTCTCCCTGCTATTGAAGATTAACATTGTGATTATATATTTATAATTTCAACAAGTTATGAATACAAAAAACTAAAAAGCTTATGTAATCAAAATCTTTTAATTAAATTAGAACAACCAGATTTTAAATTTAAAAATAAGTTTCCAATGCTAACCCCAAAAATTAGTGACAAAGTCTGCTAAAATAGAATTAGAAAACTGTATATACATTATACTCCTTCGGTCCTTATTATAAGACCCAATTTGACTTTTTATTTGATCCTAATTATAAGACCCAATCCATTTTGTCTCTTATATTTATGCATTTTTTTTCCAAGATAATCCTTCTAATAATGATAGTTTTAGCCAATATACTTAATTAGCGAGAATATTTTAGTAATGACAACACTTATTTATTATAAATAACCAACTTAACTTACTTCCTTAATCTCCTCAAATAAGTCAATTGGGTTTTATAATTAGGACCGGAGGAGTACATCTTTAAATTTAAATACCATTTATCATGCTAAAAAGGAACTTATATTTAATACTCTCTCCATTCCTTATTATAAGAGAAATTTGATGTTTATGATATGTTCCTATATATAAGAAATACTTAAAAGTTGTCTCTAATTTTTTGTGTTGATTTTCTATTTTATTCATATTTATTGTCTCCAACTCACACTCTCCCTCCCTCCCACTTTTCTTTCTTTTAATAATTTAATTGTTCTCTCTCATGCTCTCTCTTCTTATTAATGAGGGCATTTTTAGAAAAAAATACTTTTTATACACTGATTGTTTTTAACTAATTTTAACTGTTTTTTTTATTAACGTAATTTGGTTATTCATCTCTTATAACAAAGAACGGAGGGAGTATTAATTAAAATAAGTTCAAATATTGAGCTTCTCTAAAATAAAAATCACTATAAATATACAAAAAAATATCCAAGAAAGTTTGTAACATTTTTATAAATTACAATTTTATAAAAATTTACGTGAGTTTTTAATTATATATTTATAGTTTATTATTTTTCCATGGCACATCTTATAATCTCAGAATTAGAAAGATTCGTGACTAAATTTATAATTAAGTTTTTAAAAAATATTCCTTAAATAGTCTTATTTTCCTAGATGCAGCGAAAGTCTCCTATGATTGATGATTACTATTAAACTTGATATTTTAGTTATTTGTTGAGCAAGCATGTGATTCCCGTGCAGCAATCATATGCACACTCACCCAAAAAAAAATAATCCCTCACATCATTTAAGTTCAAATCATTCCAAATTAGCAGCATGTTGATGAAACTAAAAATGCATATCGGACTGCAAAGTGATTCCACAGACAAATTACGCACATAAAAAACTCTCCAAACACAACAGCGGATTAATGACATGCATATCAGCGGAATTGAAGTTCAAGTTTGTAGAATTACATGGAATAATAAATAACACATTAGGACTAACAAATTAATGATTATTTTCCTACACATTCATAAATATTTCTGGGTAAACCACATTTCGAGTTGTCCCCTTGCTGGCACTATTTGAAAGTCTCTGATTATTGATGATTACTATTAAACTTGATATTTTAGTTAATACAACAAAAAAATTTTAAAATAAGAGGAGAAATCTCATTTACCTTAGCTATGGGTTTTAATGTCAATGAGAATCTAGTTACTTTTTTATTATATATTTTCTCTTATTTATCTAAATATGAGAAAAAAAACATTTTCTCCTAATTTTTTTTTTCTCTTTTCATTTTCTCTCTTCCCATCTCTTCCCATTTACCCCTCATCCATACGAGAAATGAAATTTTTTGTGAAGAATTATGTCAATTATTTTCTCATGTCTACTAGAGATGGGCCCCAAAAACCACGCATGTAAAACAGAATCAATATAAAAATCTGAGGCACTTCCCCGAAATGTTATTGTTTTATTGTGAAAAAGGAATTTAAATTATATGCGTTCCAAAATTGTACAAATACATGTAATATTGCAAGCTGAGGCTACATTCAACCGTACTCCTGCGGACTTGTAAACAAGCTACAATCCATATCTTTCCTTTTTGGAAAGGACTGTTTGAAACACTATCTAATGAAACCAACAAAAATTTCGCATGAGATCCAGAAAGAACAAAGACTGAAGAGACGCAACAACATATTTACAAATATTGTCCTTTAATGGCAGCACGGTACTTCCTATGCATTCCAGGGCTAATGCCAGAGAAGATTGAATGTTTTTGTTTCTTTGGTTTAACCCCAAAGATAAATGCTCCCAGAGGAACCTGAGAATGAGAACGATTACCACTCCCACTACTATCTGAATGTCTTATCTCTGTGTTTCGTTGTTTCTTTGAGCTTGTGAGGCCAAATTGTTCACCCATCTTTGCAAGAACCTTCTCAACTTCAGATTGCAGACCTGATACATGATCTAGGCCTGCTTGAAGTTCATCAGCAACCTTGTTGTTCTCTTGTTTCATGTTCAAAACCTCACCTTGGAACTTGGCAGCTTGATAGCTGGTAAACTTGAAGTCGTAGTCTTCTGCACTGGCTTTCAAGGCCTTTGTTATCTCTTCCTGGATTTCACACAAGGATGAGGATCTACGTTGAAGTTCTTCTTTCAACGATGCACCCTTCTCCAACCAAACTGATAATTCAGTTTGGATCTCCACAAGATGCTTGAAAATTGGCCGTGCCTCTGATTTCATAGATTGTCTGACGCTCTCTGATTTCCCACTTTCCTCAAGTTTTGTTACATCTGATTGCAAATCTTTTATAGTGGTCTCAAATCTCTGTATCTCAGTGAAAGTAGTGCTGAATTTCAACCAGAAACCCAAGTTCTCCTCCAGAATTTCATCAATGCTCCTACGGAACTTCTCTTCTATAGCTGAAGTAGAGTCAGGCTGGTGAACTTTCAATATTTCCATATCATAATCATCTTCTTCTTCTTTCTTTACAGGCTCTTCTGTTGCTCTTAACTCTTTCAAGTCCTTATTTCCTTCAAAACTTCTCTCCATGAGGCCTAGCTTCTGACGCAAGAGTTTAATCTCTTCATCTTTCAAGGCATTGGAAGACTTCAGTTCTTTCAGCTTCAAGGATGTATCAAAGAGTATTTCTTGATTTTGCTTCTCTAACTCACTGAGAGTCTTCTTCACATCTTTGTAATTCCTGAGAATATTCGTATATTCTGTTAAGAGAAGTTTCTCCTTGTCCTTCATTCCATCCATAAACAACTGCCGCCAATTAGGTCCATCGTCTTTTGCTGTTGCCTGCTTCTGGGAATGAACTTCATGGGCATTTTCAGTCTCTGATGTAGACTGGGTTGCATTCTTTTCCTGCTGGTCTCTAGAACTCTCAGAATAACTATTTGCCTCCTCACTTTCCTTGTGTTGGCTGAGATCCTGATCTCCCGTGGCGATGCTTGATGCAGATCTTGCTGGTGAATTATTGCCAGGACTTGGAGTCTTTTCTTGTTCTTTGGGTTTCATTTGTGTTAATGAAATGAAATTTGTTATATGTGATTTAAAAACATTAAATCTAGATTGGCCTCCTGTTGATGACGCCTCTTCCTTTTCAGATGATTCCGTAACCTTATGCTCATTATCTGACCTTGTTTCATTTTGAAGTGAGTCTGTGACCTTCATTTCATTATCCACCGATCCTGTGACATTAGTTTCTCGATCTTTCCCCAAGCTTATTTCATCAATTTTGTTGTCTTTCTGCACATTATCATCTGCAAAATCAGCGGCACCAATCTTGTTATCTTTCTGCACATCATTATCCTCCAGACCGGCGACCTTAGGCTTCTTATCTGACTCTAAATCATTTATTGAGAGGTTTTCCTGGTTCAGTGCATCTGGTCTTTGCACTTCATGTCCTGGTACAGCTTCAACTAATGGTTCCCTTTCTCTCTTTGATAAATCTGGTATCTTAGCCCTCTCATCTGGCTTCACAATTGAAACCTCATCTTGCCTTTGAACTTCATGTTCTGGTACAGCTTCACCTAATGCTTCACTTTCTCTCTTTGATAAATCTGGGATCTTAGCCCTCTCATCTGGCTTCACAATTGGACACTCATCTTGCCTTTGAACTTCATGTTCTGGTACAGCTTCACCTAATGCTTCACTTTCTCTGTTTGATAAATCTGGGATCTTAGCCCTCTCATCTGGCTTCACATTTGGAACCTCATGTTGCCTTTGAACTTCATGTTTTGATACAGCTTCACTTGATGGTTCACTTTCTCTCTTCGTTGGGATCTTATCCCTCTCATCTGGCTTCACAGTTGGACCCTCATCTTGTCTTTGAACTTCATGATTTGATATAGCTTCACCTGAAGGTTCACTTTCTCTCTTTGACAAATCCGGGATCTCATCCCTCTTATCTGGCTTCGCAATTGGGACCTCCTCAGAAAGATGATCAAGATCACAAAGCGCTTCAGTAAAATGGGTTTGAAGATCTGTATTCTGGGTTTCAACCATTTCGTTGAGATCCTGTATGACTTGCATTTTTTCATCCATTTCTCTCAGCTTGGCTGTCAAATCATTTTTCTCATCAATAAGACTGGACCTATCATCTTCTAGATACACAATCTGGGACTGAAGTTCATCGGTTTCTGCTCTTAATCTTGTTACTAGAGCATCCTGGGAGGAAATCGAAGTTTCTAAGCTTATCACTTTGTTCACAAGCTCATCAATCTTCTCAGCCATTTCTGACACACTGATAGATCCAGAAGAGCCAGCTGCAATTTGTTCTTTAATTCGATTCTGCAATAGCTGCAACTCTTGTCTCTGTTGATTCATTTTTTCAATATCTTGATCCAAATCCTTGGCCATTTGTTTCACATTTTTCCCTGTCTTCGGCTCTGGCCTGCTAACCTGATCATAATGTAACTTGTGCATGAGAGACTCCAACTTCTCCCTGACCGCCTTTACCCTTTTGTTCTCAATTTTGGTTTCATCAAATGATCTTTCTTGTTTCACACGCAAACGAGTCAATGTCTCTTGGCAAGTTTTAAGAGCTGCTTCTGTCATCAAACGACGAGCTACATCATCTTCAATCACCATACCTTCACCAAACTCATCATGCAAAAGGGAAACTCTCTCTTGCAATCTTTTGATTTCCTCCTCCGTATCCCAATACTTTTGAATGGCATTATCATATGTGCTCTTCACAAACTCTTTCACAGTTTGTAGCGTCAGAATCTGCTTCTGGAGCTTGTCAATTTCTTCAAGTGCCTCCTTTTTGCTCAATCCAGATTTGATAGGTTCTTTTGGAGCACCTGCTTTAGACACTACCTTCTTATTGGTACAAAAATTTTTTGTGGCTGACGTGATGACTGTTTTTAAATCTTTTCGTGGAGGTTTTGGAACCTTTGGAGCAGCATTACTAGGTTTGAACCCTTCTGGTGCTTTTCTGGAAGCTTTGGGTGAACCATCCTCATCATCTTCATCCATAAACGGCACTTGCTCTGGACAGATGGAAGCAATGGTGTTGTTTGCGTTTTGTAACTCTTTTGATATGTGATCATATCGCTCGGCTAAAGCTCGGTAAGCCCGGTATGATTCTTCCACAAAATTAATTAGCTCGGGCCTCCCTTTGTAATACATTTCTGCTCTCTTGGCAAAGGAATCTCCATCTTCCTGCAAGAGTTTCATAACAGCTTCCACTTTCTCCTGGAAATCTGCAGTTTTGGGTAGGTACTCTCAGTTTTCACAGGAACATAGGATATTAAAAAATTAATTGTTAAACATAAGTTGGCATTTCAGTTCTAAGCTTCCAATTAAAATTAAAATAACATGTGAACTCAGATTGATACGCTGGGTGAATGAATGCCTATCATTACATCATGTTTGGTCCTCTGACATAACAGGAAATGATTTATTAACCTAAAGGCCTGACCATAGAATTTTGGCCACATTCAAGCAATGCTTCAATCTCACAATATACATTGCTTATTGAATGTCAAAAAAAAGGCAAGTTAAGCAATACTTTACCTGACCATTCTATTGCACATAAACAAAATTTATGGTTTTAAAAAAGTGAATCACTACGCATCCAAAGCTTATTGAATGTCGAAAAAAAGGCAAGTTAAGCCAGGAAGCACAAATATTGACATGAATATAAGACATGAGATGACGTGCATGGAACACAAAGCCAATCGCCATTCTCTTTCTTTAAGCTAAAGAAAAATCCAATGTTGAGTTTGCACAAGAGAATGCATGATACAGATAATAAACCAGATAAAAGCTCCTCATTGGCCGGACAAATCAGAAGGAAGAGACGGGGGACCTATAAGGTGTTGCTCCATCCATTTTGATTGCTTTGTTCTAATGTGGCTCGCCCACCACCACGAATACGCATTGCTAGCCGCTCTCTGCAACATAATGATCTCTTCTTCTTCTTGGTCCTTTTTAATGTAGTTGTTGATGATGACGAGACGTTATAGAGACGGAGAACAAATACATGCAAACCCAGTTACTCCTGTTAGGTCTCTCTCTCACATTCTGGGGAAAGAAGGGAGAGAAGGGGTTGGATTTCATGAGAGGAGCAATAGAGTAATGGGAAAGAAAAGAAAAACCAAATAGAAAAAGGAAAAGTGGGAAAGGATTGAATGGAACAAGAGAGAGAAAATGAAAATGTGAAAGTGAGAACGTAGTGCTAATAATGGGGTGATGGAGGGGAGCAAAACTCGCCCCAAATTTATTGGCAGAGCCTTCCCTTTCTGAATCTTCCATTCTTCCCATTTCCTATGACTTTCCCGGCAAATTTCAGAAATTGCATCTCTTGCTCAACTCAACAATGGTTTAAAATATAAATTTATTCTGAAAGTTTTCACTCAAGATTGTTGAACATCGGAAAGTATTTTTTAGAGCAAATTTGTTTTATAGTTTAAAATTAGGGGGAATTTCACTGTAGGACCGCAGAAGACAATTAATATCAAAGAGCCCCCAAAACTTTCTGAAATCTCACTGCAGGACTAAGGGACCAATCTGATATTAATTTTTAGAGTGAGATTACAATAATACCCCTCCCTTTTTATTTTATTAAAAACTAAATATTTACCGGAGTTACTGTTCCGGCCCGGCCACCGGTGGCCGGAACAGTAACTCCGGCGGGACCTCCGGTGGCCGGAGTTTTTTTGTTTAAAACAAAGTGGCCAAGGGAGGGTTTGAACCCAGGACCCCTTGGCACACCAAAAGACTTGTAACCACCAAGCCAAGCAACCCATTCAATCATAACATGCAAATAAAACTATATATAACAAAATAAACGCAACAGTCCAAATATATGTGAACAAGTGAAATTAGACGATTTACAGGTGGAATTCAGAAATTTGCAACAAAAATTAGGCAATTTACAAATAACATAATAGAAGTCATAACCCCAAATGCAAGTGTTTAAGTGCAAATGAGCAAGTGAAATTTAAAGATTTACAATAAAATTTTATGGATTTACAACCCAAATTTGGCAAACACAAGAGAATTCACAACCCAAAATGTAAGTGTTTGAGTGTAAGTGAAGAAGTGAAATTAGACGATTTACAAGTGTAATTCAGCAATTTACAACAAAAATTAGACAATTTACAAATAACGTAATAGAAGTCATAACCCCAAATGCAAGTGTTTAAGTGCAAATGAGCAAGTGAAATTTGAAGATTTACAATAAAATTTTATGGATTTACAACCCAAATTTGGTAAACACAAGAGAATTCACAACTCAAAATGTAAGTGTTTGAGTGTAAGTGAAGAAGTGAAATTAGACGATTTACAAGTGGAATTCAGTAATTTATAACAAAAATTAGGCAATTTACAAATAACATAATAGAAGTCATAACCCCAAATGCAAGTGTTTAAGTGCAAATGAGCAAGTGAAATTGTCGAATTTCACTTGCAAATCTATAAACTTTTGTTGTAAATCTTCAAATTTTAGTTGCTCATTTACACTTAAACACTTGTATTTGGGATTGTGAGTTCCATTATGTTATTTGTAAATTGCCTAATTTTTGTTGTAAATTTCTGAATTCCACTTGTAAATCGTCTAATTTCACTTCTTCACTTACACTCAAACACTTACATTTTGGGTTGTGAATTCTCTTGTGTTTGCCAAATTTGGGTTGTAAGTCCATAAACTTTTATTGTAAATCTTCAAATTTTACTTGCTCATTTGCACTTAAATACTTGCATTTTGGGTTATGACTTCTATTATGTTATTTGTAAATTGCCTAATTTTTGTTGCAAATTTTTGAATTCTACTTGTAAATCGTCTAATTTCACTTGTTCACATACATTTGGACTGTTGCGTTTATTTTGTTATATATAGTTTTATTTGCATGTTATGATTGAATGGGTTGCTTGGCTTGGTGGTTACAAGTCTTTTGGTGTGCCAAGGGGTCTTGGGTTCAAACCCTCCCTTGGCCACTTTGTTTTAAACAAAAAAACTCCGGCCATCGGAAGTCCCGCCGGAGTTACTGTTCCGGCCACCGGTGACCGGACCCCGACGGCGGCCACCTGAGCGCCGGTGGCCGGACCTCCGACCTCCGGTGGCCGGAACAGTAACTCCGGTAAATATTTAGTTTTTAATAAAATAAAAAGGAAGGGGTATTATTGTAATCTCACTCTAAAAATTAATATCAAATTGGTCCCTTGGTCCTGCAGTGAGGTTTCAGAAAGTCTTGGGGGCTCTTTGATATTAATTGTCTTTTGCAATCCTACAGTGAAATTTTCCCTTAAAATTATAACAATATTATTCTTTACTATTAAAAATGTTAATAGCCAATATCACTATTTTAATAATCTATGATAGCTTTTTAACAATATAGGCAATATTGCTATGATTTCAATCTTTTATAGCAAATTTTCACCTAAAAAAACTTCTGAGTATCTAGCACTCCTAAATAAAAAATTTTAGAGTATATTTTTGTACTCTAACCCTTCTACCTTTTCCATTTTCCTCTCCATTTCTCACTCCAGACGTATAATCATTATATTAAATTTTAATAGTTGAGATTGTCCTCATTTTGATTTTAGTCCTTCAAGTTTTAAACTATAGGTTTTTGTTTTTCAAGGGGCAGAATGATCTAGGTTTTTACTGAATTATAAGGACTAATATTTTAAATTAACAAAAAAAACTTAAAAAACTAAAACCTATAACTTAAAACTTAAAGAACCAAAATCAAAATGAAGAAAAATTTGAAGGATCAAATATTGTATTAATCCAAAATAAATGTTTAAGCTTTTATTTGAACAATTAAAAACTCTGATAAAAAATTAAAAAGCCTTACACTTTTTTTTTTGGGTGACAAAAAGCCTTACACTTTGTAAATGCATAAAATGTTGATCGCCCAAGTTACAAAAATTGCCACTTTCAGTCTCTCACCATCTCTTGCTTACTTATTACCATTTTTGCTGCCCGTGGCCATGGCATGGATAGACTGACTTTTGAAAATTTCTTTCTAAATGAAAGGTTGTGAGTTCAATTTCATTTATAGTCTCAAATTATTATTTTTTTAAATAACAAAGAAAAATTTATCATGACATGAATTGAGTGTTTCAATTGTATTGTATTCATTCGAATAGAAGAAAAGGTGCCATAAGCTTTTATCTGTGCAAGTATAGAATACCTAAGCTAAAAGTCAGTTGATATTCCCCTTCATTAATTTTTCTGTGCATGCATTGTTCAAACAAAGAAAAGGGAAGTCTATGGCCGGATTTTATGTAACCTAAAAAGTTTTTATCCTGCTTAAAATCACAAAAGTCCAACAGAAACAATAGTTAAAAGGAATGTTAAAAAACAGATAAAATGAACATCTAAAATCTTGACAAAATAAGACTAAGCACCGTTTGGTGCGAGGAAAATTAAGGAAAGGAGAAGGGAAGAAAATTTTTAATAAACTCTATTTAAAAATTAAAAAATTAGGGTTAATTGTTTTTAACTAATTTTACTTACTTTTTTATCTTATATCTTCTTTTCATCAAAATTTTATAACCTTACTTTTTTAGTTGAGTTTATTAAAATTTTTCTTCTCCTATCCTCCTTTCCAGCTCCCTCCTACTAAAGATAGGATAAAGTTTCTTACATATTGCTTTTAGTTTTCATTGAAATTAATACGTGGAGTTGTTAATTGTCATATTATTAAACATAACAAATAAGAAAAGATCGTTCATAAACGATATGGAGAGAAAATAAGAGGAGTTGTGCGTAATAGTGAAAGCTTCAATTTAGATTCTTCTAACATAGAAACAAAACTCACATACTTCTCTTTTTTATTGTATAAAAGCTACATAGGAAACCTTGCAAAACAATATTTCTTTCACAGAATATAACAAGGGAATCCTTACCCCAAGTAAAAAATAATATTACTTCATGTGCTTAATATAAGATCTAATTAACTAATTTGAAGAGATTAATAAAATTACTAAATTATTTTAAAATATTTATATTTATCTTTTTTCTTTCAATTAATTTGTCTCACCTATAAAATAATATATATCGTCTAATAATACAAAAATATTTTTTTAAAAAATCATGTAATATATGCTATAAGTAAATAATTTAATAATTTTTTTAATCTTTTTAAATTAATTAGTCAACATGTAGTAAATTCATTGTCCTTAAGATCCAAGCTTAAAGGGCTTAGTAGTTTACTAATTAATTGTTGAGGCTTAGGTTTACGCTTTTTCGCCCCAAAATATATAGTAAATTCCTTCTTTTTTCGTGGGTCAGCATAATATACAGTAAATTCGATGCCCTTCTTATCGTAACTTTTAACCATATACTAATATGAATACAGTAAAGATTGTCATTTAATTTTAATGTCTTAATATGTTAAAGATTGCCATTCAATTTTAATATAATACAAATAATGTGATGATTTATGAAAGGAAAAATGATACAAAAAGAAGTTGAAAATTGTAATATTTCAATTCAGGTATTTAAGAGTTCAAAATCCTATAGAAAGAAGTAGTGCTTAATCTGGTATTTTGTAAATGTAAATGGCTAAAACGCCTTTGTATCAACTTTTTCCAAAAAAAAAAAAGCTATCAAACTTATTATTATCAATATATTTCTTGTTATTAATTGTTTAATACTAGTCATTTTTAGTTTACAACTTGTTAATAAAGAACTTGTCATTATCGATATATTTCTTGTTATTTGCTATTTAATACTTATCATTACTAATACACAACTTGCTAATCAATTTTTTGACACAATGATATTTTTGTTGTTTAACTACATTTTTTTAAAAAAAAACCAAATCAGGCATAACTTTCTCTCATGGGATTTTGACTTCTCAAGTACTTGAATTGAAATATTGTAATTTTCAACTTTTTTTATATTATTTTTTTCTTTATGGAATGACAATGTCACGATTTAAAAATGAAAAAGCATATAATACAAATTATCTAATGCCTTGCTGGCCAAAAAAAAAAAAATCTAATGCCTTATTTAGCGCCTCCTCGGGGCAAAAGAAATTTGAGGAAAATGACAGACATGCGACGCAGATCTTAGTATTTAAAGTCGCTTGTCCATGTGGAGTACACGGATGCATCCAACTCCAAGAACAAGAAGTATAGTAGACACACACACATTAAATACTGTACCCATGTTAAATACACAAGATGATATAATAGATATTTTGTGTTTGTCGATAAATATTCATCTTTTATGGTGAAAATAAACCATGTTAGGTTTCTAAGAGGGGAGAGCGGGGTCTCATAAATGTTACATTTGCTGGTTTTTCTTATTATTAATCCTACAATATTTAAATGCTGAAGACATAGAAAAAACAAACAAATATATAAACTTTATTCCTTAAAATATACTCCCTCTGTCTCATATTATAAGATCCAATTTTTTGAATGAGTTTGTCTCTTTTTATAAGATCCTTTTTGAGTTTATTTAAACATTTAATATATTATTACCTATTTTACATCTAATTTAATACATTTAATGCATTCTCTTTTTTTATTTATCTCACTATTACTCTCTGACATTTACCCATTTATATATAGGGGTATATTTGAAAAAAAAATTATATTTACTACATATTAATTACTTTTAACTAATTTTAACTGTTTCTTTAAGTTAGTTTAAAAAGATCTTATAATAAGGGATGAAGAAAATATAACGGTAAATTAATTTGTGACGTGAAAAATCCAGTCAAGGAAAAGAAAGCGGCATTTCTTATCCAAGAAGAAAATCACAGAGACCAGAATGGGAACCAAAGAAAGAAAGCAATGGCTAAAGAACTTTGGGTTAGACATCGTTTTCAACCTCAACCTCCATGTGACCACTGCAAGGTAAAGCCCAGATTCCACCGTTGATGTGGTCCAAACCTAAGCCCATGCTCCCTAATCCCCCCACCTATATCCAAACCCCACAACCTGTGGAAACCTCGAAGCCAGGGTCGTCTGCACACTGGGTTTGAATGCTTATATAGTAATAATGCTCATTTAAATTTAAAATTTTTAATTATCATTTTTAAAATAAAAATTATTTTTTTTTATAGAATGACAGCTCAAAAATTATTTTTATTTTATATTTTGCATCTCTTAGAAAATTACTACAAATATTTAAAAAAAATTATTGAATTGGGTCCAAAAGGGAGGAGCATCCAAGCTGATTCAAGTTGTCCTTAGATCAAATAGTTCTATTCTCTTTAGATGTACATAAACTAAGCCTAGGTTGAGTGTACCTGGAGTGGGGATGACAGAAGTCAGAACCAAAAATAAATAAATATACAAAAGCTTGACTTGGAATTCCCAGATGCTATGAAGCATAAGAGGAAAGAGAAGGGCAAGGAAAAAACAAAAGCTGCATCTCCAATAATGGCATACAAGAAAATGGATTATTTAATGATTGAAGAGAGTCACTCATCAGGCCAGAAAATCCAACTATTAATTAATTACATAGGGGCTACCAGAAGGCTCAAGCCACATAGATTTAGAAATCATTTTAATATATATATATATATTTCTTGGTTTTCTCTTTCAGCCTATACACAAGGTATCTACAAAGAAGAATATGCCTGGGAGAATGATCACCACTTCAAGTATTCTTCCAAATCCATTCAGTGCTCTTCTTTCTCATCACTTACTAGTTGATCACAATCAGAAAATGTCTTCAAATTCTAGTTGCTCCCTTATCACTTACTAGCTGCTTCTAGCTCTCTGTCATATGTACCTTAGTGAGAGGACCAGGGTGAGTCTACCCTTCAAAGTTCTTGAGAGACTCCAACCATTGCTCCATGTATTTCTTGCTACCTGTATGTTGAACAAAGAAATATAAGTACGGATGGCATTTGTCTGCAGTCTCCCACAGGAGCAGAAGCACTTGTTCTTGCCCAGAAAAACATAGCACAAAGAATGGAAGCCAAAAATAATTACCATCATTCATTTCAAAACACATTTTCTTAAAAGCACCAGTCTCTCCATTTGTTAGAAAACACTCCATTTAATATGTGTGTGTGTGTGTGTGTGTGTGTATGTATATATATTGAAAGCCAAGTAAAACCCAACATATTACTCTACTCAATGCAGAGGGTCAATTGGTTTCTTCACTATTAATGACAAAATCCCAAGTTGCAACAAGCAGATTGCAGTGTTGAAATTAGTATGGGTTGAATATATCGGCTTCATCAGTATTCCACAAGTACTCCGAAACCCTAGGTTTCAGAAGTCCGAGCTCGAATTATAAATTCAAACCCAAGATCTATCACGATCATACAATTCAAGCCTTGACCCGACTAACAAAGCACTCAAAGGTATCAATTTTGTTTCATGCAATCAACAGAGAATCCAGTAGTACTATAGATGTGACTTTCTAAGGTGGGATTCCCCTTCTTGAATCAAAATGTGAAGCTACTGCAACACCTAGATCATAAATGCATCTAAAATAGAATTGTTTTTTCTCATAATGGATTATACATGCCCATCCAGAGTAAATATCTTCAATCACACGCTGCTAAATTAATTCCGGGAAACAGTTTGTCTTCTGCAATTATTATGTAGGAGCAGTACAACGAATGGGCTCTGAAAAGCCATAAAAACACATCCAAATTGCATAATCATCAAGACGACATAGATCAATTTCTTCATTGGAGTTGTATTAACCTCAAAGCCGGACTGAAAAAAAAAGTTGGAACGTTATGCTTGTCTTGGCATATAGCTAAATGCAAAAAGCGTCAGAGCAGGGGCAATTTTCATAGAGAACAATTAGTCAATCAACTTACGAATTTCATCAGTATTAAAGAGATCGTGTGGGAACAAAACGCCTCAGAATAAAATCAGAAAATTATAAGGCCCACGTCTAACTCTTACCTGAAGAAAATTCGTCTGGCAGGTTCTTAAAGGCACTCAAAATCTCCTTATTTGAACTCTCCACCTGCTTGCCACCATATCTATAGCAAGGAACCAGAACATCAAAACCGTCATCTGACACTTCATCACTCCGAAAGCTAGGTCCATGGGGCTCCCGCCACCCCACGGAATAGTCTGAATCGTCAGATTCCGACCCGGACAAACACTCACCACCATCTGATGGCACCACTACAACATCGAATTCTCTATCAATTCTCTTCTCTTCCCTGCTCTTCCATTTTCGATGACCCTGCTCTTGAGATGGTACAATCTTAGCTTCCTTAACCTTACCCAATTTTTTAGACTCGCGTTTCTTTTGAGAAAAACCCAATTCAGAAGATGCATTTAGAGTAGTGCCCTTAGAAACAGAGCGTTCCTCCTTGCCACCCCGTAACCAGCAAGAGAAACGGGTAAAAGAGAAAACCATACTTCAATTTCAGAAGTGATTCAAAGCTAAAGAGATTACGATGTACCAAGAAGCTCTTTTGGAAGCCGAGGATTTGTAAGAGAATAAAGGGAAAGCCAGAGTTGAAGAGCGACTAATAAAGAGGCGGAAATCCGAGTGGTTCCTGCCTGTTGCAGTAACCACTAAATTAGGATATGATCCATTAATAAACAAAAAAAGCAGAGATCAATTAAGGAAGGGCCTAAGCACATTTATCCCAACAAACACAATAATATCAATGATCATTATAAGCAGATTTTTGAATAAGTAAAGGCATGGGGATACACGCAGAAAGTTCGGTAAGGTTTCCTCAAATATCGAATAATAGGGTCAGTTGAAGAGACACAAGATCAGTGCCAAAGCGTGAATGTCAGCAATACGAGTAAGTAATTCAAAATTGTCTTTTTCAGGCTCCGATATTCCCAGAAATAAACAGGAATGTTCGAAATCGGAAACCCAAAAGAATCAATCTTTATCTTTTTTCCAAAAATAAAAGCAACGAAACCCAGTTTTCAATCACAATGCCATTAGTCGTGCTCGGTCTTCTTAAAACAAATTCCAATAGAAGACTGAATCAAACCCCACACAGCAAGTAGACTTGACCCCGGTCAAAATCGAACTACCAGAAAAAACAAAAATCAAAGAATCAAAATCTTCCCTCACGTCACCGAAAATATCGGAAGTCTCTCACCGGAAAAACACACCTATAAGCTTGTTCTAAGCATCTATAATAGAGAAGAAAGGATCGGAGCAAAGTTCCTCGGCAACGACAAAAAAATGAAGACAAAGTCGAACGACTCAGTGAGTTGAGAACCCTAATAAATAACTAACCCCCCCTCGTCTTCTTCCTCCTCCGGACCCTCCCACAGTGTTTACCGAAGAAGGTTTATCCAACTGACACTCCTGGATCCTCTACTCTGGATTTGGATTTATTTATAGATCATAGAGAGATTATAGATGATGATAAACGAGCCAATTTCACTTTTTCGTGGGACCACATCTAACGGTAGAGATCGCACGGGTTTTCATCTTACGATTGGTGATGGTCTAATTTTTTATTTAATCCAAAAATATTGTACTGTCTGATTTTGTTTTTGTGAATCACAAAGATTACGATCCTGTACCAATTTGCTGACGCGATTGACTATAATCCGTTGAAAGCCTCCCTGTGAGGTTCAAATTCATTGACATATGGAAATTTCATCAGCCCATGATTTTTAGGAATTTGAAAATTTTTCTAATAATACCTTAATTGTCATATCAATCACACTTGTGATTTGATTACACAACATACTTAAATAATGGGGCTTAAGATAACAGTGCAATCAGGATGAAACTAAAATTGCATTTTAAAATCAAGGACCTATCTTCTTGGACTCAAGTAAAATATTTGGGAGGGGGGGGGATTGCTTAGCATTACTGTGAAAGCTATGTTACAATTTTTTTTAAAAAAAAAATCTAGATTTTATATATAAATTGTCGTGACATAAATAAAAAAAATCAAGAAAACGTGAAGATGTTAGATAGGGAATGTTATGAATAGTGGGGGAAGAAAGAAATATTTAATTAAAGTTTGTGGAGATGATGAATTTGGTTAGCATGAAGAAGATGAGGAAGGCACGAAACAAGGTTAAATGAAGGAGAAATTGCCAAGCTTCTTCGAAAGTGAATAAAAGTCAATCTCCGGAGTTTTTAAATAGAAAGTGTTGGGTTGGTGTTAGAGTATAGAATACTCAAAGAATATATATCAGCAAATGGGAATAATTTAATCTTCAGCCTTTTATACTTAAAGCCAAAAGGAATGGCTAAACGTAAACACATTAATAAGTGAGTATTTACCCCAAAAAAAAAAGAGAGGAGAGATTGAGAAAAAAAGTCTATCATTAAGCATTTTTATTAGTAAAAATGACATGATAAATTTTTATATATAAAAGGTAAATATTTTGTAAATTATATATATAAAGTATTACTTCTGGTCCTAAATACAAAAGCTACAAAAACTAGTTTCTAATGTGATTTACATTAAAAATTAGCTCTTATATATAAGAATGGAGATTGCATTATTTTTCTATTTTTGATCCTTTTTGCCTATAAAATTTTTAATAAAAAACCTTTTCTCAATTTTCTTAAAAAAATTATTTCTTCATATTATCAATACTTTTAGAAAATTTTTTTTGTAAGAGTTAGAATTTAGATTAGATGAGATAGAAAAAATGTTGATCCTCTTCTTAAATAATACTCCTCTGGTCCTTAATATAAGACATATTTAACTAATTTGATTAGATTAAGGAAGTTAGGTAAGTTAGTTAATTATAAGAAAAGTAACACATTTTTCCTAAAACACCACAATCATCTTTCATAATACTCCCTCTCCCTCTTCTATTTGATTATGGTTGAGAGAGTATCCATAGGGGTAATTTAGAAAAAATTGATAAATATAAGAAATAGGTCTTATATTTAGGACCAAAACCAACTCAAAAATTAGGTCCTATATTAAGGACCGGAGTACTTGGGTTTTAAACTTTATTCATTAAAAAAATTTGTATTAACAAAAATATGACTCAATAATGTTAGATATCCGACAATTGTATTGAGAGCAAATGACGATGCGGTCTAATGGGATGATTTTCTGATAAGTGGTTATGAGTTCGATATTTTTAACTAAAGAAAAAATTTCAAAAAATACCACTTTAATTTAATCTAAGAAAAATTTGCAAAAAAAAAAATCACTTAAAATTTTGCCTTCTTTCCACTGCTCATAGTCCTTGAAGCCTAGGGTTCTATACTCAACCCAGTGCTTTATAGGTTTCTTGACAAATGGTTGCAAAAAGAAGACTTGCTTTTGCTTGTGCAAGAAAGGAGGAGAGATCTATATATCATATTTTCATACTCATTTGAGTAACTCAGTTTAGTTTAAAAATTTTAATACTCGTATATGTCAAACACCGTTACCCATAAGTTACTTGGTGTTTATCTCCAAGCATTTATTACACTATCCAATCAAAATATGACAAGTATATAATTTTTCTAATTAAAACGTGACAAATGTATGGTTATTATGCATGGGAATGAGTCTTTGATTAAAACATGCACTTATTAATTATATTCATATGGAAGAACTTTACACTTGTCCTATTCTGATTAAAAAAATTAGTAATTAACATGCAACGAACTTCATGTAAAATTAGTCCTTTTCTTATGTGTAACATCATTTATTAGTAGTTGAGATTAATTATGCACATGGAGATATAACAAGAAAATATTGGATGATCAAGCAATCCACTTATGACCAGACAAACATAATTATCAAATGACATCAATAACGCGATCCTCTCCAACGTGCTGGTGTATATCTTATATTCTTATCTCATGATAATCGTTATTTCATTCATATCAATGGAAAATTGTCGACAAATACGGTAGTGATTAATTGGAACTAGTTTGGATGCTCATCACTTTGATGAATATCTTAAACTTATCAGATATGGATCATTCATGTCTCATTTAGATGGTTTGGGTTTGATTTTTTTAATTTTTATTTATTCAAAATAATTATTTTAATATGTATAGAATCTAAAATAGAGATAATATCTTAACTATCATTTTTTTTTCAAAAAATAGATTTTTCTATTTAAAAATAATTAATTAAAGATTTTAAATCTCAACCATTCAAATTAGATATAAATGATCCGAATTTGATGACTTTAAAAGCGATAAGCATCGAAACTGGTTCTATAATTAATGGCTAAAGTATACATTTAATCTTTTAATTTTATGTAAGATTTCAGTTTGGTCTTTTAACTTTAAAAATGATACTTTTAGTCATTTAAAAATGATAAATTGTCAGTTTTAAATGATGATTTTTTGTAACAATCATGGTTCTTTTAAAAATTAAACTTAAAATGTTGGCATTTAGTAGTTGAGATTAATTATGCACATGGAGATATAATAAGAAAATATTGGATGATCAAGCAATCTACTTATGACCAAACAAACATAATAATCAAATGACATCAATAACGCGATCCTCTCCAACGTACTGGTGTATATCTTATATTCTTATGATAATTGTTATTTCATTCATATCAACTAGTTTGCATTTCAGATCAAAAAAAAAAAACTAGTTTGCATGCTTATTATTTTGATGAATATCCTAAATTTATCATATCTAGATCATTCATATCTCATTTAGATAGTTCGAGTTTGATTTCTTTTTTATTTTTATTTATTCAAAATAATTATTTTAATATGTATAGAATCTAAAATAGAGATAATATCTTAACTTTTTTTTTCAAAAAATAGTTTTTTCTATTTAAAAATAATTAATTAAAGATTTTTTTTGTTTTGAGTATTCATCAAAACGATGAACATCAAAACTGGTTCTATAATTAATTGTAATTTAGAAGGGCATGTTTGGTTACTTGGATTTTTTGTTTTTTTACCAAGCGTTTGGTAACTTGAAGTTATGGACATGAATGTAATGTAATTGCAAAGCTATTACTTAATTTTGTCTGGAAAAAACACATAAAACTATTTAAAGCTAGTTTTTGCATTACACTGCCTTATAATATGATCATATAATGTATGCAGCCAAGTAGGTCCTAAGTTATTGGGAAAATTATTGTGAGGTCTTTAAAAAATCACTAAAATGGCATAATAATAAGTGAGTAGTATTGACCTTATTATTATTTTTTGTATTGGAACTTGATATTAAATTATTAACTTGTCATATGAGATTTTTTAGTAATTGCATGCATTTCTTTTAAAAAAATTTCATTGTGATTTTTCCCTAAACCATTTACTCGTCACAATGTTTCAACAATAGCAGTTATGGTCTTTTTTTTTGCTAATCACACGAACAGATAATAACTACTGACAAACTGGCACCAAGATTGGGAGATGTAAAGTTTTATATATGCGCGTAAAAGGGTAGGCATCCGGTGATCGTGATGAAAACTGAAGTTCATGGGGAAAGTTCATATACATATTCGGTGCTGTTTACTGGGTTAAAAAAATAAACTTTTTTGTCCTTAATATAAACCATCCCATTAAATTTATTGTTAGCAAAAAAAGTCTCATTAAATTTATTATATAAATGTACAATTTTACTTTTAATTTAAATTTTATAAAGTGTTATTTTTTTTTAAAAAAATTACATATAAAAATACAAGTAAAATTGAATAACAAAAGCTATTCAATTTGAAGATAGAGTTGATGATATTTAATACTCCCTTGGTCCTACTTTTATTTATAAAGTTAAAAGAGAAGTAATTTTCTAATTCTATTTATAGGACATAAAAAAAATTTTCATATAAATGTACAGTTTTATTATTGTGTTGGTTTTGTTTTTATAAGATATAATACATACTACTCCGGTAGTCAAAACAGGTCTTATATTTAGGACTGGAATAGTATTAAATAGAGACAAAGTTAAAAAGATGTTGAATTTAAAATAAAGTTAAGACGGTTTAATGCTTTTTTTGATCTAAACGAAACATATTAAAAATGACTTATAAATAAAATTATTAGAGCATGTTTGTTACTTATAATAAAAATTTTAAAAGTGGTTCACAAGTAGAATTGGATAAATACTAAAAGAGCTATGCATAATTGAATAGGAGCTAAAAAAAAGGTTTTGATTGGCTTTTATCTTTTGGTTTGCATGATTGGCGGCTCATTTTAACAAGCACAAAGGACATCATCATTCAACAGCACCCCATAATTTCAGGCCCCAAAAAAAAAAAGAGAGAGACCATAATCAACAAATAAAATCCGTTGTTTTGCTCCTTTCACTCATTCTCTTGCCACTTGTTTTCTGTCCTCAGGCTTTATTGCTGGCCATTTCTGTGCCTTTCGAAAGCTATACATAGCCGTGTAGGCATAGCTCAGTCTCTCTGGCCCTTCCACTATCCTTGCATCTTGTTCCTTGTATAGTTTTATGTTTGTACGTAAACTGGCTTTTTATGAACCCCAGCATTCAATTCGACCACCATCGCTAATTTATTGAGTTCTTGTTCGGATAAAGTGGTGTCCAATATCTTAAAATTGTTTTTTTTAGTAGTGTTTAGTATCGTAATTTTAATTATGATGTATAATTTTATGTTTTAAAAAGCCTTAAAAAGAGATATTGCTTTCACTTTTACATCTATAAGAGCTAGACAAAAATATTTAATTTGACTCTAAATGTAATATCTTGATTTATTTTGTTCTCAAATTTATAATTTTAATCCAAAGTATCTCTGTTAGTCCTACTTTTAAATATTAGTATTAATATTCTCCCAGTAATAATAAGTAAGAGAAGAAGGAAGAGAATGAAAGAATATGCTTAAAGTATTTATAAAAAAATTTATCACATTAATTAATTTAATTAATATCTTTAATTTTCTCAAATTAATTAATTAAGCTTTGCAAACAAAGCGTATATGAATTGACGCACTGGAGTGAAAGGCAATTTGGGGCGCCGGTGGTAGTGGTGGGGAAGGGTGGCTTGCGTTTTGTTCAATGATTGCGGCGGGTCGTTGAAAGAGAGAGACCAAGCGTCTTGTCTCGCAAATTCCAAAAGTGGCTGTGGCGTTATCTGTGTTGTGGTTGCTACGCCTTCCTTAGAAATGGTCATCTCAATTTCCCCACTTTACAATTGACTACCCCACCATCCATTTTGTTTTATCTCACTACAAATTGCCACGTGTGCGGTTGGAGTTACCTGCGTTTGCTGGAAGAAGCCGGACAATCATAAATTACAAAAAAGTTACCCCACTAACCATAGGAAGAATTTTGCGTCAAAAACCAAAAGACTTTTAGTATCGGACACTCCCACTAGTTCTTATTATAAAAGATCTAACAAGCCAATTCGCACCGACTGAAAAATAATATTTATATCAGTAAATGAGTTTAGTATAAAATTTTCCAAGCCTATTCTTGTAATAAATTTTGAGAAGCCAATGAAAAATTATTTACGTAAATAATAATAATTTGTAATTAGGGATAAACTAGAAAAAAAAATTCATCAATGACTCTGTTTACCTCTAATAAATAAGGACCAAAATTTTTTTCTAGACAACCCCTTAACTATCCTTTTCTTTCAGCGTCGTGTTTTTTTTCTGTCTTTATTTTCAAAAAATTTATTAAAACGAGAGAAAATTATTATTACCTGCGGTACTTAATATAAAAGTTATTTGATTAATTTGAGCAGATTAAAAAAATTAGTTAAATTAGTTATTTTTAATAAATATGTATTTTTTTTTCTAAAATATCCTTACTAATCAAATATATTGGTCAAAACTATCATTATTACAAAGATTATTTTTAAAAAAATAGATAAATATAAGAGATAAAACGAACTAGATGTTATATTTAGAATCAAAATAAAAGTCAAAACAAATATATTAGAAGGCCGAGGTAGTATAATAAACAGACTAGTCCACATTCACTTCTCCCGTTTTAATTTTAACTTCGCTCTACCAAACTTCATGTTAGGCTGTGACCAAAACATAAATTTCATTTTTGGCCATTTTTACTCAGCCAATGTGATTTTTGGCCATTTTCTCCTTGACACGGTTTTCTGAACAGTGTTCCACTTGAGGCAAGGGGGAAAAGGGAACCAAGGTCCTCTTCTGATGTATAGTTCATGCCTTTCAATAAAAAAAAAAAAGGATAATAATAAGAAGATTAAATTATACTCTCTCATTCTATTTAGAAGTTTATATTCTCTAATTCTATTTAAAAGTATCCAATTCTATTTAAAAATTAATTCAGATATTTTTTTAGTCAAAACTAATAAAAACCTAAAATAAATTCAAATTTTATGAATCAAAATATTTGTTTCGAATTTTACGAAAAAAATTAAATTTTAGAGTTAAAATCTCTGATCTCAAATTTAAGTTGTAGAAATTAGCCCAACAAATCTCAACGAATTGGGCCAACACTCAGAATTAGAGGGCCCATTTGGAGCCGCATCGGCGACTGACTGCTTCTCCACTGCCACATCCCAACAGATATTTAAAAAAACCAAAACAAAACAGAACAAAAAAACCAACGGCTAGTTCTCCTTTTAAAAAACATCATAACTACCGGATTTCGCATGGGTAAAGCGGTTGATGACGAATCCAAAGCGATCAGGGTTAAAAGAAAAGTCATCTCAGTTCCACACCATTTCAAATCTAAAGCACGTCTAAGTTTAACGGTTATCTTCTTCTCCACCACTCTCTCATTCCTCTCTTCTCCGATTTCCACCTACCTTCTTCACGGAGCAAATTGCGCCACACCTCCGCTGAGTCTTCGACATTTTCTGCGTTTTCATTCTCCAAATCAGGTGCATTTCTTGGTTTCTTAAACTAGCTTGGTTAAGAAATTCAGTTTCTAGCATGAATACTTCGCTGTTGAAGTTATGATCATTATCTTTTTCTTTGCCTGAAACCAGTATTTTTCCTTTTCACCCTTGTTATAATAATGAAAGTTTTTGTTCGGGTCGGAAAAATTAATGTCAGCTTCCTTCTGGGTCGTTATGGTAAAATTTTGAGGACATGATTTGTTAATTGAAATTATTAAGCATACTGTAGAGAAAATTGAAAATCCATTTGCTTTGAGAGGACAAATTATGAAAACAAAAAGGGATGCGCATAAAAAGAAAGAGGAAATTGAAAGCTGACAATATGTAATGGCTGAACAACTCCGAACTGGGAATGACACTATCAGTATAGAAATTTTTTTCAGAATCCAAGCGACTAGTGTCGTAAATGAAATTTACAGTTTGGAGTTCGAACTGTTATAACCGTTTTCGTTCTCTAAACTCTGGGTAGTCTCGGTAAAAAGGAGCCGCATGCCAAGGGGGATTTAGTCACATAAGATAATATTATTATATCATTATACTCCTCTGGTCCTTAATATAAGACTCCACATAATCGGCAATTAGTGGCTTCCTTACCATGTGTATGGAAGCCAACTCCAAATAGCGATGATATGGTTTTTCCAGAAAATACTTAAAAATGATGGTATCTAGTCTTGCCCTTATCCTGTCCATATATATATATACACACACACTCCTCCAGTCCCAAATGCAAGACACTACAAAATGTGTCTTACATTTAGGACCGGAAGGAGTATATTAAGGCTGTTCTGACTTCTAAGTTTTAACATGCGGAGCCCGAAAGGATACATAATGAGCTAGTCTAAGTCAAGTGAAACGGCAAGTCTGCGTTCCTGCTCCTATTATCACTTGTTCTGCAGTGGTTTCTGGTTTTGGCACGTTGAATCAGGGACATGACACTCCTTGTGTTAGTTCGTGACTTTGTATTGCTTCTAAATGATCAGGTGCTTTGAAAGTCACATATGTGAAATACAAGGCATGGACAAGGCTTATGAAGAGCTTGATGACGCTAAAGCTGAGATTGAGACACTCAAGGCAGAACTAAGAAGCAAGACAGATTCACTTGAGAACTTGAAGCGATTCCAAAATGCACAGGTCAATCAGATACGGGAAGCAAAGCTCAAAAACGAGAAACTGGAGCAGGAGCTGATTCGAAAGGAAGATGAAATCATTGTGGTAAAGCAGAACTGTGAAGATCTCCAGGGGGATTTGAATAAAAAAGAATCCATCATCAAACATCTCAGTGCTGCGAACGATAAACTTAGAGGGGATTGTGACAAAAAATTGAAAAAATGGGAAGATGAGAAGAAAGGGTTGGTATTGGCGTTAGAGGAGGCAGTTGAGAAGGCGGAGAATCAAGATCAGCAGATTCATGCGTACAAACAAGAGATTGAAAGCCTGAAAGGTTGTCTTTCAGCTTCTAAGAAGTGTTTGGAAGTAGAGAAAAAATCAGAAGCATCCGAAGAGCGTAGAAAAAGTGATGACATATTACAGAACTTGGAGGATGAAAACAGGAAGGTGGCAGAACAATTGAAATGGAAGAAGGAGCAGTTCAAACATTTAGAAGAAGCACACGAGAAGCTTCGAGAACAGTTCAGGTCAAGTAAGAAGGAGTGGGAGTTGAAAAAGTCATCGTTGCTTGATGAGATTTCTTCACTGCAGATGAAGTTAGATTCTCAGACCAGAATATCGGAGAATCTGCAAAACCAGTTGCAGATGTGTAGCCATGCCCTTGCTCATGAAGAAAGCCGGAGAAAACGCCTTGAAGTTCAACTTACTGATTATAAAGAACGTTTTGAGAATGTCAGCAGTGACTATGAGAATGCTAGGTTCGAACTGGACCAATTCAACTCTCAGCGGGACAAAGATACTGGAGATATGAGATATTCATTGAAAACAAAAGAAGCACACTGTAAAGAATTAAAATACAACATTCAGAAGCTGGAGCAAGAAAATAAAGAATTGAGGGTATCACTGAAGGAACTCCAGGAAGCTCATATTCAAGAAGCAGGAGCTTCACATTCTCAGTCTAAGTTGCGATCTAAGCTCAGAAGTTTGGAGAACATTCATAGAGAGTGCGCCTTAACTCTACAAGCTAAAGAAGTTGAATGGAAGTTGCAGCTAGAAAAATTGACAGGAGAGCTGAATGGGTATCGGTCTGAATTGGAAGATAAGAAAGAAGCAGCGGAAGAGCTCAAGATGGAGTTGGAAAATAAGACAGCAGCAATGGAAGAGCTCAAAATGGAATTGAAAAATTCTGATTCTTTAACTTTGGAGCTAGATTTGCTGAAGGAGGAGATGTCTTTGTCACTGCTCGTTCTTAAGCAGGGAATTTCTGAGGCTAAGAAGAAGCTGGTCAATGATAAGGAGGAGATGGACCTGATAAACAAGGACAGAGAAGACAAATGTTTTGAACTGATGAAACAGTTGGAGATGAAAAATGCTGCTTTGATTGAAGCCCAGAAATACAAGAAGAAAGAGCTGGACTTAATTAACAAAGAAAGAGAAGAGAAGTGTTCTAAACTGATGAATTTGTTGGAGATGAAGGATGCTGCTTTGATCAGGGCCCAGAAAGAGATCGATGAAGAACGTGAGAAGGTAGCACGCGTCATGGAGGAGGTTGATTCCTTGAATGTCACCAAGGAACAGCTCCATTCACTGCAAAATGAACTCGATAGGTACAAGGAAATGCTAGAGGAGTCCACAAAGTGTCAACTTCTCCTCAAAGAGAAGACCTTGCAGATGGAAAGTGAATCAAGAGAAAAGCTTCAAGGAGTTTCTGATGCTTTGGACAGAGCAAATACTGAGTTGGACGAGAAAACGTATGAAGTAAATGAAATGGAATATGAATTGCAAATGTGGACGTCAATTGTTGAACAGTTGAAGAATGATCTTGAAGAAAATCATTTGATACGTAAAGAACTAGAAAACTCACTTCTAGCACAAGTAGATTTTGGTGAAACCCTCAAACAAGAGAAAGATAACTTGATTTATAAGTTGCAAGAGAATGAGACAAAACTAGCTGATCTTCGGCAACAGGTTATCTTACTGGAAGAAGAGCTAAAAAGAAGGCAGTCACAAACTTCTTCTCCAGCAAGGGGGCAAACTGCGGAGTCTTCTGAGACGGATAAGTTGAGACATCTCCAATTCATAGAAGAGAAAGACACAATTTTGGAGGAGCTCCAGAAAAGGTTTCGTTGTCTGGAACAGGAATCATGCAGAGGAGAGTTGGAGCGTCGGAAAAAGTTAGATTTAGAGAAACTCATGCATCAGGCGGCTTCAATGGGACATCAATTCTCTACCTCCTGGGTCTCCTTCTCTTCACAGCTTGCTGAGAAGCAGGCTGAGATTAATTTGGTCCAGGACGCTTGTGATAAGATTACAACAGCTGAGATTATAGCTATTCTTGAAAATGAAGAGAGGAAGTTGATGATAGCAGAACTTGAAGACGATATCAGTAATCTTGAGCAGAAACTGAAATTGCAGGAGGAAAGATGGAGCCGGACTGAACAACTTGCGTCGGAAATGGAAGCAGAAATGGAAATAAAACAGTTAACATTGAAGGGGCTGACTGATAAAATAGAGACTAGGCTCAAAAGCTCAGATGCCTCATATCATAAACTCAAGATGGAGAATAGAAATTTGCTTGAAAACGTCACTAGATTGTTGTCAGAAAGGGAAAATTTGTTAGGCTTCATCACGAGACTGGATGAAAAAATATGTGAATTTTCAGCCGCAGACAGTCAACTTATGGATAAGTTGGGAAGCATTGCTCAAGGGATGAATTTTTCAAAGGAGGATGAATTTCTCACAGAAGAGAATATTAATATGCGTTCTCCTGTGGCGACGAAGAAATTGGAGGTCGTTTCTAATATAAGGTCACCATTTAAGGAGCTCAACAATTAGTAGGACTTGGGGAAAAGTTACCAGATAGACGTTGTGTCTGTTTGCGGCTTCTGCCGAAAATATATGTCATGGTTTTTAAGCATGACGATGTATATGCTCTATTCAATTGATGTGTATTTTCTTGTGTATGAAACTTCTAAATTTTCAACGACTGTTCCTCAAGTTATTCCCAGTTCCTTTAATAAAGTAGCCAATATTTTTTCTGCTCATCAGCTTTTTTCCTGAGGCTGGACATGAATAATTCTCAGACGAACTCCAATGACCTCTCTCAGTAACAACTCCATTTACACGGAGTTAAAAAAGCTACATATTTTACCTAAGTATTTGCAGAGAAAATTGTTACCAGCATTGTTAGTCATCTTCCAGTAATAAATGCAATGTTGTCATATTTGTATGTTGGAAAGGGATTACAAATGAATCACGTTAAATTATTACAAGTTCACCAAAGCCAATATCGCTCCAACCAGAATCCCTCCGCTGATAAACCTAATTTTATATTTAGAACAATACAGGCTCGATGCCTTGATGCAACTTTAATTTGATTAGCTACCGCTTGATGAGCCTGAGCTTTGAGAAAACTGTGACAATCCGTTCCTCAAGGCTGCAAGGTTTACTCCGTTGCCAACCAGAATACTCGTCACGCCCATTTTAGAAACCTGCAAATACATCAGACGGATCAGAAGAGATTCATAAACATTACTGTAGAATCAAGTCTTTCTATTAAAAAACGAAAAAAAAACTTTCATTTTCTTGAACTCCAAGCGAATACACAGATGTCCCAATGATTTGACAATTGAAAACAGAACAATGATTCACTGCCTCACAAGCAAATTCAAAAGAAAACATAATGATAGGTTAGGAACAGTATTTACTGCTCCAATGTTCCGATCCTCATCATCAAAGAATAGCATTGAACTGTAAGGAACGCCGGTTTTTCTATGAATTCTCTGAAAGTGATCTGTTTTATGAGTCCAGCTGGAGAAAATTTCCTGCAAGAATACATCCATATGTATAAATGACAAATAAGACGTACGGTGAGAATAATGTTGCCAAGGAGATGGAGACAATGCAAAGCAACTATGTCATTTGCTCACCTGCGCCACAAACATAGACTGGATAGCCAGCTTGTCAAGAAATGTTTTAGCTATATGTGAAGTTGGAGATCTAGAAGCAACTGCCATATCTATTCCCTTCTCTTTAAGTGCGCATAATATTCCCCTTGCTTGTGGATAAAGGCAAGGGATGTCATCTTCATAGTAGCACTCGCTGACAAAACAATAAGAAACTTAATACCGTGAACAGCTGAAACCACATTAAATCAAAATCGTATATGATCTTTAAAAAAAAACTGACTGTGTTTCACCTTCACTAGATTCTATATGCACTTGTTTAATACTATTACACCTTTGAGATAGGGGCTGCAAAAGTTTGATGACCAAGAATGAGCCAGTCAACATATTCAACACAGGACATGAGAACTAAGAACAACTCATAAGACATAATAAATAAAGGAAAATCCTGAAGTCCATGAACATCATAGTGAATAGTTGGTATTCTACCATTCTTTTCCATAATTATAATATTCTCAGAGAGCAGAAGCTGAGCAGATCCGAGTCAGTTCTACAGGAAGTGAAAAAAAGAATTGGACCTTTTCCTGTGAACCATATAATGATTTAATTTCGACAACAGACCGCTCTCAATTAATACCATAAATATCTTTCCAATTTCATTTTAAGAGGATCCAAATCCGTAGGGTATAACGGGATTCACAGGACAAGATTGGCTTGAACTACGAAACTATTCCATAGCAAAATGTCCACTACTGAATTTACTTCTTTTTCAAGAATAACCAAGAGTAAACTTCTGTTGTTTAATACAAAATTGCTTACATGCCCGTGCGGTGAATTAACCTATACAGGCGGGGGTTGGGGGGGGGGGTGTTCAGAAATTTGTCGAATGATAACAGTAAATCAATTGAAAGGGGCATATGCGAGAAAATACCAATAGAAAGGCCAAAGTGTGTAATCGAGATCGAAGACGACAAGACGGGGAAGATTCTGGAAAAGTCCAATTATCTGCAGCGCCTCCTTCTTCACAGTCTCGTCGTCTCCCATCTCGTCCTCGGCGAGCTTCTTTGAGGCCTTGGCTCAGGCCTTCGTTCCCCACGTAACTCGCCTAGCCAAGCCGCTGCTTTTGAACCAGAGTCAACAATATGAAAGGCACTCGATAGTCAATACTTAATATGGCATCGAAATAATGGAGAAAAGAAGAGGAAGAGAATATATTTTTTAGGCTTACGCGGAAAGGCACTTAAACTTAAGACACTTGGCATCCAAATAGTGAAATATACATATTCTATTCTACTGGGGATAATTAGAAAAGTATGAATACATTTTTTTGTCCGCAATAATACATTTGTATTCCTTTTTACGAACTCAAAAATAATTTGACCAAAAACTTTAAAAATAATAATAATACATAGGGAGGGTTCCAAAAAAATGTTTAAAATTATTTATAAATTTAATATTATAAAAATCTATTAAAATATTTTTAACAAGCTTAATTTGAAATTTATTAATTTTAATCCTTTTTTTCTTGAAATTCTTCCTATTAAATAATAAACATGTATATGGTTGGAATAATACATTAAAAAACACGAATTCGGTTAAACTACGGCAAAATTAACAAATAAAATGAACTAATTCAAAATAAAAATATTAAAAATGAAAAACTAAGAGGCTAACTAGCGATCGAACTAAAGATTTTATTAGTTTTGTTACTCATAAAAGAAAGCAATGCGAAAAATAATTTTCATAATTCTGGGTTATATTTATTCATGCCTCTGGGTCAGGACAGACAAAAGTGTAGAGGCCTGTTTGAAACGACACAGCACGGACCACGGTACACGTGGAATCCTTCCTAATGGCGACCGGGAGAGAATTCCTCGCGCGCATGCCCTGAGCATGACATTACGTTAGGGAGCAGAAGAACTTCGTCGATGTGCCGCGGCATCTCGAAGGGGATGGCAACACAAAAGCATACTGGAATTGTGAATTTTGATTGCTTCGAAGTTCGAAGCTCTGTATCTGGTGATTCATAACACTTCTATTTTCATATTTTAAATTCAGTACTGGTGGCATACCTGCAATTTTTTTTTCAACCATACCTGCAATTCTTTTTGTTCTATGTCTATCTCCATTTCTTTTTCTAAGATTCCTGTATTGTGATCTTCCATCTCATCTCCAGGTCAAACCTTTCCCCGCAAATTCAACAGTTTTTATTTTAAATAAATATGTATTGCTTCCCTGTTTTTCCTTAAAATAATGATGTTTATACAGTAATTAGGGTTTGCTTTTGATCAACAAGCTTCGCTATTTCTAACAGTGCTAATATCGAATTAGTTGTTGAGCTTTTCTGATTTCATATATCTGAGGTTTACAGTCCTTGCGGTTTCCTTTTAGGCGAAATTGTTCTTTTGGGGGGTTGATTAATAGATATATTTGTTTTGCGGAATTAAGAAAATGTCTACGTTTGTTATCCTTAACTTCAACGAGCAGATGGTCACAAAAAATTAGTTTTACTGCAGGTTACGAAGTTGGAAGATCATCAGATCAACTCTTTCATCTGTATTGAATTGGGTCAAAGTCCAGACAACCTCTTGTTTTTGGTTCATCGGCTGCTATCAAGACCTTACTGGCTATTCATTTTCATTCCATGATGGCTCTTCCCGGCACTCTGCAATTGTCCTGTGGATTGGGACCTCGTAGGAAGTGGAACCGGAATTACAATAAACAAGCTTTGGTACCATAAACTATCCTTTTTTGTGGTTTCTGTTCATGGTTCGTTATATATGCATTTTGTCTCGTGTTGATATCACTTGCTTCCTGGTTTACAGAGGGTGCTGGGAAGAAGCAAGTCATTTCTGTCTAGTCCCTATCCTTCATTTTTCCCCCTGTTTATTCTATTTAAAATGTTGTCATGCTCTCTTATTGCTTATTATTACTAAAGTTTAAATTGGCGTGCAAGAAAATGTAGCATTCTTGTAGTTCATTATAACTAAATGTCACCCTGTTCATTTTCTCTGGATACTCTCATTTAATAGAATGCCTTGTTTTTCATTTCATTTAAGAGTTTCTGGAAATCTTTTTCTATTCATAAGCATCTGGCATATGATAAGATCTTTTGTAGATTTTACTGTGCCCTGGACAAATTATTCAGTAAAGAGAAATTCCCGTTTCAGAAAGCCTGGATTTACTGATAGTTGAATCTTCAGATAATAATGCAATGGATATCTGTAAACTTCTATATTGAAGATCAGGGATTCAGGGCTTTTTTCTTTTTTTCTTTTGGGGTGTATATGTAGTTTTAGATTGCTTTAAGCATATAGCTATTTTCAAGGTTAAAACCCTTCAAGAAATCGTTTGCTTATGTGCTTCTGATTAGTGTTTGAAATATATTAGAAAGCTCATTGATACCGTGTCATACTGCAGCTCCTGAAACAAGATTGCAGGAGACTTCAACTCTCTCACCATGTAAACAGGCCAATGCCCTCCTTATCATGCAAATCCCAGTCTTTCAAGTGTCATTCTTTTCTAGTACCTGGCCAACCAAGTGAACTACCTGTTGTTAAGGTGGTCGCCGCAGCAATGACAAGGTAGATTTTGTGTTTTCTGGTCAGCATTAGTCTGTCTACAGATTTAAGCGATCCGTCTTCCTTGTTGCTGTGTATAATTTATTATAGTCCCCTGTTTTGCATCTGGAGCTTGGCTTTGGTGTTCAATTGCATTTTTTGCTGACATAATCTAGTTAAAGTAAGTCATTTTCCTAGGTCTTTCTTTCATTTGTTGTAATAGTCCTTCTATAATGTTTTATGCAGGTCCTGTAATGTTTTACAAGGTAATCCTGTCATGGCAAAGTTAATTCCAGCAGTTGGTGTAATCACATTTGCCATATGGGGTGTCAGCCCATTACTATTTCTAACAAGAAAACTGTTTCTTCGGGTATGGTGCATTTATGCACTTTTCATTTTCACATTTATTGCTTCCATTTATATTTGACTGCCTTTCTGTCTGTTAATATGAGTTTATTATTGTGAATTTTTCTCCAGAGGGATAGCAATTGGAAGAAAAGCAGCACAAATTATATAGTAACTTCTTATATTCGGCCAATAATGTTATGGATTGGAGCTATACTTATGTGCAGGTTTCATTGTCATGACTTAATAACTCTACCCTATGTTTGCATTATATTTACTTCCGATGCAACTATTCTTAATATGCGTAATACGCGAATTGCAGAGCTTTGGAGTCAGTAGCTCTACCTACAGAAACTAGCCAGATCGTTAAGGAAAGGATTTTGAATTTTGTAAGATCATTGTCAACTGTACTTTCATTCGCGTATTGTTTATCAAGGTTTGTTATTTCCTGGTCTTTCTTATTATCTTCTGAAACTATTTAACAGTTTTGATCACTCAAGTTAGTACTGCAACCAATCCCTTCCAGGAGTAGAATCTTGCTTACTGTAATGGAAAATTATGTTACCTCATATATTTTTTTCTCATGCTGCTTTGTCATTGCTTTATCAGACCGTTTAACTTTAGTCCCTTAGAGAAGGGTTCAAGTGCAAATTTGTCTTGGAAGTTTTCTCTCACGAGTATTGGGTACCTAGAATGTTCTCCGGTGCAAATTTTCCTTGGAATTTTAAAATCATACCAATATTGCCTATTGCGATTAAAAATGTTAATGGAGGGGACAACATTGCTATGATTTTAAACTTCCGAGGTAAATTTGCATGCAAAAAAACTTTCAAATGCCCAACACTCTTTAATGAAAACTTTTGGGGCAAATTTGCGCCTTAACCTTTTAAATAAACATGTTTATGAAGCCAGCTTGAGCTCATCAATCTGGTATTTGTTTCTGATGTTATAGTGCTTGTAGCTTGCTATGGGTTGCTTCAATTTATCTAAAGTTCTAAACATGCAATATTCTTATGCAGTGTGATTCAACAAGCACAGAGATTCTTTGTTCAGAATGCTGATGCCAATGAGGCAAGAAATGTATGTATATTTGCTCAAGAAAAACACAAATAGCTTTGTAGTAAAATTATTGTTAATATAACAGCGACTCAGTTCTACTACCTGTGTTAAATTCAATCACTATTATAACTGTCTGTTGAAGCATGATTTCCAAATTAATCTATTGATGTCATATTTTGGGTTTTGGATTGCAGTTGATTTTTCTGAAACAGATGAAGATTGGCAATCCTTTGGATTTGTTATTGTAAAATAAAACCGAGTAAAACTGGGATGCTAAAATTTATGTGTGGCTTTATATATCATAGATTCATATGCCTATCATTTGTGGAGACTAGTGGCCCGTGCACCTCAGTTTTTCAAACATAATGTTTGCCAAATGCTGGACCTCATTTTGTTTTCCCTCAAAGAATTACTAGCTCTGGTTTAACGTCAAGGATATAATGAGATGTCTTCATTTGTCAGATGGGATTCCAATTTGCTGGCAAAGCCGTGTACTCTGCCGTATGGATTGCCGCCTTTTCATTGTTCATGGAATTGCTGGGTTTCTCTACCCAGAGATGGCTTACTGCTGGAGGTCTGGGGACAGTTTTGCTTACTCTTGCTGGTCGTGAGGTGTGGGATTTATTTGTTGCTTTTAATTCTCCCACTTTTTGGTGATAGCAACAATATTGTGGCACATATTGATATTAAGTGTTCTGTGTTCAGATTTTTACAAACTTCCTTTCCAGCTTGATGATTCACGCTACTAGACCTTTTGTGGTGAATGAATGGATCCAAACAAAGATTGAAGGATACGAAGTCTCTGGTACTGTAGAGGTCTGTGTTAATGGGTTCAGTTGCAACCTTTTACATATAGGAATTATGAACAAAATATCTTGACAAAAGGTCAAATATATTGTCTTGATCAAGGAAAAATGTTGCACTAGCGTATATATGGCCAAGAGAAGCTGTATCAGAAAGCCATCTAAGTCAAATAAATGAAAAACTAATCCCTAAAAGGTAGGAATTACAACTACTGCCTCAAGTCAAATATTACAACTACAACTATCCCTAAAGGTAGGGATTATAATAACTGCAGTGGTTACAACTCTTCTGCACAAAGGAATTTACTGTATACATGCCATTTAATTCCTATGTAATAAAACGAGACAAGTTTAAAACATATTCTGGTGCTTCTGGATTCCTTCTTTTAAGACTCCTTTTTGGGCACTGATATTTTAATGCTGCACAGCATGTTGGTTGGTGGTCACCAACAATCATAAGAGGTGAAAATCGTGAGGCTGTTCATGTTCCAAACCACAAATTTACAATGAGTGTTGTGAGAAACCTTAGTCAGAAGACGCATTGGAGGATCAAAACCCACTTATGCATCAGTCATTTGGATGTCAGCAAGATTAACGTGAGCTGCACTTTCTTGAAATCAGTAGGCCTTTCATCTCCATGAAGTTTATTATGTTTGTCCTTCTGAAACAGAGTGTTTATTGCCTCTACAGAACATTGTTGCTGACATGCGGAAAGTTTTGGCCAAAAATCCTCAAGTAGAGCAGCAGCGGCTGCACAGGAGAGTGTTTCTAGAAGATATAAATCCTGAAAATCAAGCTCTTACGGTTAGTATGGAGTTCTCACTATGTCTTAAAAGTGATTCTATGTGCTTTGGCTGACAATGATCTCGGAAACATCAGATTATTCTGTGTGTGTGTGTGTTGGTCATCACTGCACATGATGGCCACTTGAACAATAAAGTACTGCGGTCATTTGTTTGTTCTGAAACTTGAAAGTGCTACTTTGAGCTGTGCTTTGACCATAGTACTTCTGGATCTCGTTTGTGATTAACACCTTTAAGAATCAAAAATCAACAAAAGAACATGGACAAATATCAATAAAAGTCATTCGAAGGACGTGCAGCACACATCTGAATGTTATATCCTCATAGAGGATGAGTGACTGTGTTTACGCCCAGTTCAATATATCTGTACTTGTCAATGTTTATAATTGAAATTATATTCCCTCCTCCTCTTCATGTTGTTGCAATTTAGATATACATATTCAATATTTTACTTGTCTGTATGTACTTTATTTTCTCATCTTTTGCTATGCATTTCACAGATTCTGGTGTCTTGTTTTGTCAAGACCTCACGTCATGAAGAGTATTTTCGTGTTAAGGTAAGGATACTTTTTTCTGTGTTAAGAGTGTGACTTGTTATCTTTCAGTCTGCCAATATAGCATGTGATTATGTCCTAATGAAGACATAAATTTTATAAATCTTACCTGACCTGAGCTCACGAGGTTTTTGAGGGCTTGTGTCTGCTTATCAGTTATCAGTAGATCATTAAGTCAAAAGACGATGATGCATTTGAGTGTAACAAAATTTAAATGAGGGTTTATCTATAATGACTACGTACGTAGCTGAGGTTTTGCTAATATTTTGGCAGTTTTTCCCCCCCGGGCCCGCCCGGGGGGGGGGGGGAGCCAGCTTCTTATGAGTATACTGTTTCTTCGTTCATAGAAATATCATCCAACTCCAGTTAATATTGATATACTTTTTCTTTCAAAACAGGAAGTTATACTATTAGATCTTCTTAGAGTCATTGGTCATCATGGGGCTCGACTTGCAACACCAGTTCGTACTCTGCAAAAGAGATATAGTGATGATGACTTAGATAACATACCTTACGCAGATTCTTTTGTTGGTGGTGCTAGCACAGGACGTAACCGTCCATTATTATTGATTGAGCCACCTTACAAAATCAACTCTGATGATAAAACCAGAAGCCATAGAACACAAACCAAACATTCTGCAAGGACTGATGCCAAGGCTGGATCAACAGTGGTTGCAGACTCTAATGTTAGAGAAACTCCTTCAAACTCCAAGTCAGGTGCCAAAGCTGTGATGCCTAACTCTGATGTGAATGAAAAATCTGAAAATGCCACGTCATCTATAGTTCATCCCACCATACGTGAAGATGATCCACCGAAATCAGATTCAAATACTGAGGGAAATATTGGGTTGCCAGATATCTCTGCTTCCAATTCTAAAGCAAATTTAACCGACTCTGACAATACAATGTCGTGTTCAGCTTCAAATAATGGGCGTCCTTTGGATAAACCATCAAAACAACAAGGCGAAAGGAAACCAGCTGAACAGCCTCCTACATCCAGGCCTGATGTTGAAGAGAATATAGTCCTTGGTGTTGCATTGGAGGGATCAAAGAGAACCCTTCCTATTGAGGAGGGGATGGAGACTTCCAAGAAAGAGGCAAAGGAGATGACTGGATGGCAGGGTGGAAAGAAACCTTCAACGGCTGAATACGGGAAAGATAAATAGATTGTAAGTGCTCCATGTTTTATAGTTGATTGTTTTGGAGCTTTTAGCTCGCTTCTGTACAATGGTTATTTTCATCCAGAAACCGACCCAGATATGTTGTACATATTCTCTCAAGCCAAGGTATCATGATATAAGGAACTTTATTTTTGTGAAGCTATAAATACAAAATTTTCCATATAATTAACCCCACCTAATGAAATAAGATTTATTGTTGCTGTTATGTTGTACAACCCCCCCCCCCCAAAAAAAAACCCAAAAAAAGGGAAGAAGAGCTGGGGGGGATAGAGAACATAGTTTGAAATACTGGTATATTTTGTCTCGGTTTGCTGATCGAAAGTTAGTCTAATCCGGTGATCGGATCAGATATGCATTCTGTGGCAGGCCTAGACATAATAATTTGTGGGGGCAAAATATATATCCAATGTAAATATATCAAATTTTTGAAAATACAATTATAAATACTTTATAGTTGCGTGAATAAGTTTATGTCAATATAAGAAATATTTAACTACTTTTTTTAAATCCATTTTGTCATGTGTTCTGGTTTTTTTTTTTTTTTTCATATCATCATTTATCTTTAAACTTACATAGAAGAAATAGGATACATTTTCATATACGACTGAAAAACTTGATATAATATTTATAAGAAGCTAGATGTAAGTATTATTTTCGGTTCTAATTATAAGATTTTATTTGTAATCTATAAATAAAGTTTTATAAATAAGACCGGAGGTAGTATTATCTAAATTACTCTTTAAGCACGCTCTTGAAGCTATCATGCCTGATGCGTTGAAAGACTAGACTGTGAAAAGTGGTTTTTTGGGCCCCTGCCCCCGTGGGCGGAATGGATGGAAGAGCTGACACAAACCACCTCAGAAGACCACGAAGGGTCCAAATATCCCTCTTAAGATGCAAGAAGTGGGAAAGAATCTCCAAAACAATAACTAGTATCGTGTCTCATAAACCAATGAGAGTTACTCCAAGTGGTAAACAACTTGGTATTGTTTAAGTGAAGTTTCAAGTTCGAGTCTCAGTGTATGCAGAAATTTCCGTTGGGAGACTCACCTACTACAACCAGGTGCGCGACGCGGGTTGGATCCAAACGTAATCGGAGCAAAACTCCGGTAAACTGAGTAGACAAAAAAAAAAAAGTATTGTGTCTCATAGTGCGTCACCAGTAGTATTCCAGAAGTCATCAAAGTAAGATCTTGAGACCAAATACTACGAGATCTAGATAACTTGAAATAATCCACATTCACTCCAAACATAAGTTAATAGAAAACTAAAAAAAAAATGCAGTCCAAAATACAAAATTTAAAGAAAGAAAAGCTGGGTTTTCTAAAGGTATGCTGATGACGACTTGTGGAGGGCCGCCGCAGTTGATGGCGGAGGCAACGGCGGAGGAGAGGGATGCGTTGGAGAGGAGTAGGAAGAAGGTGAGGAAAGCGGGGATAGCATTCAACGAGGAAGAATTTCCTAGACTAATCGGAAAGGAACAGGAAAGCCGAGAGGAAGGGGGGAAACGCTCTTACCGTGATTCTGTGAAAGAAGGTGGTGCGACGTCGAGAGCAGGGTTATTCAGAATGGAGGATGAGGAGTCCGTTGATACTGGGTTTGATGCCTTAGAAGATTTGAACGAGGGCATCTGGATAGATAGAGCAAATCCGCAGAAGTCGAATATAGTAGTGTCGGTTGAAGAGAATCGGAGGATAGGAGAGATTTTCTCGCAAACTTTGGTTGTTAAACTGGTGGGGAAGACAATGACACTGGCAGCCATGAAGAGAAACCTGCTGCATCTATGGGGGAAAAGGGGGAAGGTGAAAGTATCAGATGTTGAGAATGATTACTATATGGTTGGCTTTCAGGATGTTGATGACTACATGAACGCCTTAACCGGCGGACCATGGACTCTATTTGATTCTTATCTGAGTGTGATGAGATGGAGGTCTGATTTTGAACCATTGATGGAAGAGATAACTAAGATTGCTGTTTGGGTGAGACTGCCGGGATTATCGTTTAAGTATTTCGATAAGAAGATTCTGTGGAATGTCGGAAGTGCCATTGGTAAGGTGTTGAGGGTAGATACAAGCACGGCTACAAGAGCAAGAGGAATGTATGCTCGAATATGCGTAGAAGTTGACCTTAAACAGCCGTTGATCCCCCAGTATACAATTGATGGAGTGACAAAGCAAATAGAGTATGAAAGCATGGGACTCTTGTGCTTGTGCTGTGGCCGTTTTGGGCACGTAAAAGATCACTGCAAAGAAGGTAAAAGGGCAGATAAAAAAGACGGATATGAGAGTCAAAATACTAGGGAGGATATGGAGGTGGAAGGTCCCTGGAAAGTGGTACAGAGAAGTAGGAGGGGTAGAAGGGTGCAGAACCAAGTGGGGAGTGTTGCAGGGACGTCACGTTTCTCAGTGCTTGAGAGGCAGACCGAGAGGGAAGAGGAGAATGAACAGGGGGTGGCACCAATGCAAGATATAACTAATGGAAGTAGAGTGGATGCAAGAAGTGGAAGGAGTAAGGAGACTCATCGAAGAAATACAGATAAATCACAACAGAAAGGGAATGAAGGAATCATTTTCAGAGCAACGAATGTGGAAAATGAAAAAGAGAGCAGAATTGAAAATGGAAAAAATATGTTAATCATTAAAAGGAATCAGAGTGGGACTATGGTTCCCTATAATGAGCCATGGAAAAGGGAAGAGAAGCAAGTTACAATGCGAGATGGAGATGATCAGGTGATGGTTACAGGAGAGGAAAGTCTCCTCACAAGCGAGGTGGACAGAGGGCCTCAGAGAGAGTAGGTAAGTAATACAATACCTGAAGTAGATAATTTTGTTGACGTGATTGATGGTGAATCCATGGTGGATTAAATCCTGTTGATGTAATGCTCTTTCTTTATAATTATGATTAAGTTGATAATTTGGAATTGTCGTGGAGCTGCAAGTAATAAGAGTATAGCAGCAGTGAAAGAAATTAATAGATTACATAAGCCGGATTTGTTTGCTTTGGTTGAAACTAGGGTGAGTGGAAACAAAGTAAAAGATATTGTGAAGAGAATGGGGTTTAATTTCTCTGTGAGAGTGGAAGCAAGGGGGTATACTGGTGGAATCTGGCTTTGTTGGAAGGAGGAGAACCTCAGTGTTGAAGTTCTTTGGGAGTGTGAGGAATTCTTACATGTCAGAATTGACAGAAGCAACTCGTTAGTGTGCTTCTGCACCATAGTCTATGCAAACCCGCAGGGAGTAAGGAGAAATGAATTATGGGATAAATGGAATGTGATTGCACAGGAGGTGAAAGGTCCTTGGCTCATAGGGGGTGGTTTTAATGATATTGCCTCTCTAAGTGAGCAAAGCGGAGGCATGGGGGCTAATATTAACAGATGTAATGCGTTTCGTGATTGGATTCATAGGAATGTTTTGATTGATTTAGATCCAGTGGGTCCGTTTTTTACTTGGAGGGGACCTAAATGGGAAGGAAGGGAAAGGGTGTTTAAGAGACTGGACAGAGGTTTGTGCAATGTGGAATGGCAGAATGCCTACTCAAATGCGTTTGTACGAGTGCTTCCCAGAATTCACTCGGATCATCATCCCCTTTTATTTAACTTCAGCGGACAACAAACTGTTTGGGTAGAGAGGCCGTTTCGTTTTGAAGCCATGTGGTTAAAGCATCCGGATTTTAAGAACTTCATGGAGAAGAAATGGAATAAGGGAGAAGAGATGGTTAAGGCACTGGAAAGCTTGAAAGAAGCCTTGAGAGTTTGGAATAAGGAGGTGTTTGGGGATTTGAGGAAGAGGAAGAATAAGCTTTTGGCAAGAATTGGTGGTATACAGCAAAGTTTGGGTAAAAGCAGAAATCCGTTTTTGGATGAACTAAGCCAAGAGCTTCAGCAAGAACTGATGGAACTCCTGCTACAAGAGGAGATTTTCTGGTTCCAAAAATCTCGGGGGGAGTGGATGGAAAATGGGGACAGAAATACACACTATTATCATTTAAAAACTCTGAACAGGAGGAGGAGAAACAGGATTGTAATGTTAAAAGATGAATATGGGATGTGGATTGACAACGAGATAGAGCTAATAGAAATGGTCCGGAATTATTTCATTAATATGTTTACAAAGGAAGTAGGAGGAAGAAGGTGGGTAGATACAAAACAAAGATGGGGGACAGTGTCTCAGGAATGCTTAAATAGGTTGAATAAGAATGTAGGGAGGGAGGAGATAAGAAGGGCCATGTTTAATATAGGGGCATTTAAAGCTCCTGGAATTGATGGATTTCCTGCTGCTTTCTATCAAAGTAACTGGGAATTAGTGGGGAAAAATGTTATACGCAGTATTCATAATATGTGGGAGAATCCTTGCAAGATTAAAGAGGTGAACGAGACACTTACAGTACTTATACCAAAAAATGAAAAGCCTGAAAGGGTAACGCAGATGAGACCAATTTCATTATGCACAGTAATGTATAAGGTGCTGTCTAAAATCCTAGTCAACAGATTGAAACCGATTTTAAGTAAGATAGTTTCTCCCTATCAGACGAGTTTTGTACCAGGGAGATGTATACAGGAAAACATCATTATTGCTAAAGAAATTGATCATTTGATGAGTAGAATGAGTGGGAAGAAGGGTTTCATGGCAATTAAAATTGATTTGGAGAAGGCATATGATAGGATGAGCTGGGAATTCCTATATAGAGTTCTTGGCGAGATTGGAATAAATGGGAAGATTTTGGAGGTTATTGAAGCGTGCGTGAATACTACTAGTTTTCAGATTCTGTGGAATGGAGCCAAGTCCACCTCGTTTTTGCCTTCAAGAGGAGTGAGACAAGGTGACCCCTTGTCACCTTATCTTTTTGTGATGGGTATGGAAAAATTGTCACATATAATTGCAGATGCAGTAACAGCAAAACAGTGGAGACCAATTAAGATAGGGAGGAAAAAGATGGAAGTGCCCCACTTGATGTTTGCAGATGATTTGTTGCTTTTTTGTGAAGCTGAAAGGGATCAAGTTGAGGTGGTGACAAGATGTTTGCAGAAATTTGCTGAGATGTCTGGGCAAAAAATAAATCCTCAAAAGACTACTGTATGTTTCTCCAGGAACGTAAGCGAGGAAAACCAGAATGAACTTGTTAATATATGTGGTTTCAGCAAAGCAGAAGGGATTGGTAGATATTTGGGGGCCCAAGTAGTTAGGGGAAGAAACCTAAGAAGAAACTTTGATTTCATAATCGATAAAGTGCAAAAGAAACTCAGTGGATGGAAGAGGAATAGTCTATCCTTGGCTGGAAGGTTGACATTGGTGCAATCTGTTACTCAACAAATGCCTGTTTATCATATGCTACATGAAGACATACCAAAAGGTGTCTGCAAACAATTAGAAAAGTTATAGCGAGAATTTATATGGGGAGAAGAAGGGGGAAAAGAAAATTCCATGCTTTAGGGTGGAATAGATTATGTAGACCCAAGGAGACAGGAGGTTATGGGCTCAAAGACCTTAAAACAATGAATGATGCTTTACTTTGCAAGACTGGTTGGGAAATGATGGCAAAACCTGAGAAGTTGGTGTCGAAGGTGCTTAATGCAAAATATGGAAGGAAAGTAGAACTGGGGAGAGAATGTGTTGTGAAGAAGGGGGATTCAGCAATATGGAAGAGATTGGGCAGTTTGTGGAAGGACATGGTGGAAAATGTTGGCTGGGAAGTAGGAAATGGAAGGAGAATCAAGTTCTGGGAAGACAACTGGTTTACACAAATGGGGACCTTAAAAGAGAAATGCATAAGAACTCTGAATGAGGAAGAACTAAAGGCAAAAGTGGCAGACTTTATTACAGAAAATGGTGAGTGGAATACGGTACTGTTGAAAAATTTTTTGACTGAGGAGACTATTGAAAAAATACAAACTGTGCCACCTCTTAAAATGGATGAGCCTGATGATACTATTAAATGGTTGGGGAATGCTAATGGAAAATACGTAGTTTCGGATATGTACAACGACCTGAAAGGATTTGATAGAGAAGGATCAAACTTAGTTTGGAAGAGGATCTGGGAATGGAGGGGGCCTAGGAGAATACAAATATTCATGTGGGTTGCATCTAATGGGGGTTTGTTAACCTCTGTTCGGAGGAGTAAAATGATAAATACTTCCCCAATCTGCGTTCTATGTAGGGAAAAAGAGGAGGACACACTCCACGTTCTCCGAGACTGTGTGATAGCAAGGTGGATATGGAGGGCGATCTTGGGAGGTAGAAGATGGGAAACTTTTTTCAACCTGGCACTGAATGAGTGGTTTATCCAAACCTTAGCAGGAAAAGAGGTGTCTGGAGGGATTGGAAAATAGTGTTTGCTGTAACCGTTTGGTTTCTATGGCAATGGAGGAACCGTAGCTTATTTGAGACTGATTTTGAGAGACCAAGCGATCCTGTGGCTGCAATTTACAGGTATGTAAATGAAATTAGAGAGATATTAGAGAAGAAGGAGAAGGGAGTACAGGAGGTGTGTATGCAGATCAAATGGAATAAACCTGATACAGGGTGGATCAAAATGAATATTGATGGTGCTGTATGTGAAAATGGCGGGATAGCTGGATGCGAAGGAGTTTTTCGAGACAATGAAGGCAGATGGATTGGAGGATTTGCTCAAAAATTGGGAAGATGCAGTGTGGAGGATGCTGAGTTGTGGGCGCTATTTACTGGGATGGATCTTTTGAAGCAAATACCCCATAAGAGAGTGATCATTGAATCAGATTCCATGATTGTTATTCGAAAGTTGGAAGAGATGCTACTAGGAGGAGAAGGTAGCAGCAGATTTATGGAAAGAATAAATGATCTTTTACACTATGTTTGGTACGGGGTTTTCGGAGGGGAGGGGAGGGAAGTTGCTCCCCTCCCCTTGTTTGGCTGGTATAATTTTTTAGAAGGGGAGGGGAGCTCCTCCCCTCCCCTCGTTTGGTTAAGATATTTTTTAAGAGGGGAGGGGTTTTTCTCCCCTCCCCTTCCCTTCTAGCCTCCCCTCCAAAAGTGGGGTTTTTTGGAGGGGAGACGAGAGATGATATTTTAATTCCTTATATACCCTTTTGATTTGTTAACTTCTAATCAGTCATAAACATTTCTACCTAAGAGAGTTCTTTTGAGCATCTAATAAGAGGTTATTAAGATAATTATCTCCAAAATTAGTAAGCATTTGTAAACTTTTTTCTCTTCTTCTAATTCTAAGAGGCCGTTGGTATTTTCTTTTACCTTCAAGGTCTTTTCTCTGATTGAAATCTATCACTTGTGAGTTTTTTGTCTTGATATTCTATAAGTGTGTGACTGTATCTTGTAAATCAAAATTAGTGAATTGTATTATATATATATATAGTTATATCTTAACAAAATAAAAAGTGAGAAAATTCATTTAAATTTATACGAGGCTAAAATAGTCAATTTTTTATTAGAACAAAATAAGGTATTATTAAAATTGCTCCCTCCCCTCCCCTCCAATCAATCCAAACAGGAGATCATTAAAATTCCTCCCCTCCCTTCCCCTCCCTCCCCTCCCCTTTGTAGCTACCCTCCCCTCCCCTCCCCTCCCCTTCCTTCTTGATTAAAATCCCTCCCCTCCCTTCCTCCGTCGAGCCAAACATAGCGTCTCCCCTTCCCTCCGTCGAGCCAAACATAGCGTTAGGGTGTGTTGGGTTGGAGGGGAGGGGAGGGGAGGGGAGGGGAGGGAAAATGAGCCCCTCCCCTCATTTGGTTAAAAATTTTGGAGGGAGGGGAGCTAAAATGTCCCCTCCCCTCCCCTCCCCATTTGGCTCCCCTCCAAATTGGGGGTTTTTGGAGGGGGAGCCAAAATTTTGGACCATTATGCCCTTATGGTTTTTTTAATATTCCACTCCTACCCATAAAATATATATTATAATATTTATTTCAAATAAAAAATATATTATCCTAAGTAAAAATAAAAAATAAATACATTATTATAATTAAAAATATTTAAAAATGATTTAAAAATAAAAAATATTTAAATAAAAAATTATAATATATAAAATAATTGTTTTTTATAAATATATTATTTATTAAATATATTTTAAAGCTGGAAAAAAAGATAGCCTAAAGAAAATAAAATTTCATTTTTCTTAGAGCATATAAATTGTTAATTTGATTATTTTAAATATATTATTATATTAATTAGAATAAAAAATTACTATACCAATTTTTAATACACATATTAACATGATAAGACTGAATTTTTATTAAATTATATAATTTAAATTAAGATGTAAATTAATTTATATAATATATCAATAAAAAACATAAACTAATATGTAAGGGTAAAATGGTAAATTGATTATTACTATCCCTCCCCTCCCCTTCTTGAACCAAACAAGGGATCATTAAATACCCTCCCCTCCCCTCCTTTTTAATCAAACCAAACAAGGTGAGGATAAAACCCTCCCTCCTCCTCCCTCCCCTACCCCTCCCTCCCCTCCCTCCCCTTCCCCCCCTCAAACCAAACAGACCCTTAGGGTCTGTTTGGTTTGAGGGGAGGGAAGGGGAGGGAGGGGAGGGAGGGGTAGGGAGGGGAGGGGAGGTTTTATCCTCACCTTGTTTGGTTTGATTAAAAAGGGGAGGGGGAGGGGAGGGTATTAATGATCCCTTGTTGGTCAAGGAGGGGAGGGGAGGGATAGTAATAATCAATTACCATTTTACACCTTACATATTAGTTTATGTTTTTATTGATATATTATATAAATTAATTTACATCTTAATTTAAATTATATAATTTAATAAAAAATTCAGTCTTATCATGTTAATATGTGTATTAAAAAATTGGTAGAGTAATTTTTTATTCTAATTAAGATAATAATATATTTAAAATAATCAAATTAACAAATTTTATATGCTCTAAGAAAAATGAAATTTTATTTTCTTTAGGCTATCTTTTTTTTCCAGCTTTAAAATATATTTAATAAATAATATATTTATAAAAACAATTAATTTTATATATTATAATTTTTATTTAAATATTTTTTATTTTAAATAATTTTTATAATATATTTTTAATTATAATAATGTATATATTTTTATTTTTTACTTAGGATAATATATTTTTATTTGAAATAAATATATAATAATATATTTATGGGTAGGAGTGGAATATTAAAAAAAACCATAAGGGCATAATGGTCCAAAATTTTGGCTCCCCTCCAAAACCCCCAATTTGGAGGGGAGCCAAAATGGGGGAGGGGAGGGGAGGGGAGGGGACATTTTAGCTCCCCTCCCCTCCAAAATTTTTAACCAAATGAGGGGAGGGGCTCATTTTCCCTCCCCTCCCCCTCCCCTCCCCTCCAACCAAACACACCCTTAAGATCAGGGTGGGAGCTGCGGACGAGTCATGCCTTTAGGGAGGGTAATGCAGTAGCTGATTGGTTAGCCAAATGGAGCTTCCTTCGATCCAATGAAATACAGATGTTATGGGAACCACCTGTTGGGGTCCGATGCTGTTGGATAGAGATGTCTTGGGTTGCACTAAACCAGAATCCTTTTGCGTTAGTTTTATTTGGGCTGTTAGCCCCCTCTTGTATAAAAAAAAAAATGAAAACTAAAAAATGAAAAAAAAAAAAAAAAAAAAAACTTGCGATTGAGCAGCCTGAAATAACCTGCAATCATGACCACTACGGCATCTCTGTGTTGAAGATGCAATAGCTAATCCTTGCCCTGACAATACTACCTCTAGTTTCTTCTCTAACCATCTTATCCCTCCAAATAATATTCTTCTGCGCAACCTAATTTTTAATGAAGTTAATATAAATTCGAATTGAATACAATATGAATTTGGTTTAATACAATTTAATAAACATGAATGTAAACTATAAAATTTCTATTAAATTTTTATTTTTATAAAAATTCAAATAAATGCTTTTATGACATAAATTAATTCATAAAATGATTTTCGTTAATTGAGTTAATTAATCTGGTTATTTGAGTAATTAACTTCGACTTATTCCTAATTCCCCGCTTAAAATTAAAATTAATTATAACCCGACAAAACACAATATAGTAGCTAGTAGTGGCGGAAGGACTTTTCTATGCCTGCGAACAAGCATTCTACACTCCGTTGGACGCCGTCTAACGTTGTCCGCTTCGAACCCTAGGGGTTTGTCTACTCCCAAAATCCTGTGGGATTGGCTTTGAGTCTGGTGAATTTGTTCCCGCGTCATCTGTTATCTGCGTTAGTTGTTCCCCGCTGAGTGTAATATGGTAGGAATTCGTTATTTTCATTCGCATTTGTTCATTTTAAACTGTCCCTGATACTGGGCGGGCAATGGGTTTGATGCCTAAGCAACCTGTGTTTTGCCTAAAATTGCCATGGGATGTCAATCAAAGTAACAAAACTTCTGACGCTTGCAACT